TCCTTCTCTTTTGTTATCTATCATTAGTTATGGGGAATGCCCATTACCCCCTAACCCCTTTTTTTTATTAACCATGGATGGTCTGAACATTGCATTAGTTCTCTAATCTAGAGACATCATGGCTCTCCTCAAGCACCAACTCTCAAATTGGATCCTAGGTGATGTAGAACGTATAAATATGGGCACCCAATAGAGTCAATTTAATTTCGAATAGCACCATGTGAATATACATGCTTTTCTTATGTTAATTATTGCTCTAAATATCTATGTTCTCCTTTGCTAAGGTCAACCTATGATAAGTGTTGCAAAACACTTAAACTGTATAATCCAGTCTTATCTCTACCATTCTCCAAGATCATTAATCACACAAATAAATGTATAGCTAGCTCTTATCTCTAGCCCCTCTCAGTTCTCATGTGGTCTGCTATCATAAAGGTTTAAAATGTCGTACATACCACAAAAAACCTATGTGGAACACTGGAGTCTACTGTTTAAACAGCAATTTACTTTTAGGGTACAATCTAAAGCATTAACAGCCAGGTTGCTGCATTTAGACTAATAGAGCTGTGTTGGAATAAAATGTGTGATTTGGTCAAGTAACATAGTTTTATTCCAACATAGCTAATAGTTGGTCTCAATTCCACTTTCATCTCCTTTCACCATACTGTTAAAGCAAGGACCCTGGGTCTTCTTATTGTAAATGACAAATAATGTAACAAGTCATCTCTTTTACCTGTTAATTATTTGCTGAATAGGATTCACTTGACCTGATACAATAGCTGTCTAATTACCACTTTGGCTCCCTCCCTTTGGCCTTTGTATCTGTTATTACAGATATATGACATAAATGCACAGTTTTACCAACCTTGATAAGCCTCTAACTACATACGTTATTCTACGTAAAACGTTGTCATTAAGTTACAAAGATCAGGCTAATAAGCACATCAACACTCACAGAAGATTTATTTCAAACTCGAACATCATTGCGAAAGGAAACTAAAGTTTCTCACTGTTGGGAAAAATGAATGCATACATCAGAACAACAGTATTATTTGTCTGCCTAATACTTTTGGCTGCAGGTAGGTTACTTCACAGGGAATTGTTTCATTGACTTATCAATACGTTATGTTTATTATCAATAAATTTTATTTATATTTAAATCCACATATTGTGAATACAGAAATTTTAGGACGGCGGTAAAATATTTACTTGAATCTATCTTTTATTTAACAAGAAGAATACACTGAGATCTATCTCAACATGATTAGGTAGTAAGCACTGTTAATTCATCATAATTCACTGTTTGATTAAAGGGTTACTAGATAAATAAAGAATTTAAAGTGAATTTAAAATTTAAGGTCAAAATAGCTAAACTGGATAACACAAGCTATTCTTTCATTTTGTATACTCTGGTCTTAAATTTGAAATTAATTTGAAATTCTCAATTTAGTATATAACCCTGCTTGTGATAGATTCCTATTCCTATATGCAATATATTTCAAGAATATTCTATCTTGCTTCCCCCTACTAACTCGGGTCTTGGTTTAATTAATTTGGATACATTTTCCAAATGCTCACAATCTGTAAATCCACGGGATTTTCATAGGTGAATCATTAAATGTTTTTCTAACAGACTGCGATCATTTGAAACGTTTATTCAAAATAGCGAAATCCAGGCCATTGTCTAGAAACAATTTTCTCTTACATTGGTCTTCATTTAATTGGCTTCAACCAGCATCAGAAATAATCACTATCTGTTAAAAAATTAACTTTTCAAACATTTATCTGCAGAAGTCACCTGTAAAGTCTATTGGAATTTTTGAAGATAAATAATTTGAAACATTTTTTTTTCTAACAGTTTCAGATAATTTCTTATTTTTAATTTTGATCCATTTAGAGATCTGATTGCCCTTGTGGGGTCAATAAGAGCTGCCTTTCTTGCCTTCTTTTTGATCAACAGCAAAAAACAGATGTGGGAAAGGCTGAACTTGATGGACGCATATCTCTTTTCAACTATGAAACTGTAATATCTGATGCTGATTCAAATTAATTAAATTGACGCCATTGTGAAATGCTTGAAAGTGCTTGCTTTTTGCTGCCTTACATAGACACATGCGCATGTTGGCAATGTACCGAAGATTACCGCATTGGAAAATATCTGCATTAATTTAACAGATTTTTATTTTGTTCCTCTGAAACATCAAACATTGTACTGTAATTTTCATAGAATGTTATGGCTGTTTAAATATGATATACATTGTCTACCTAGCTACCTAAGAAAATGTATTAAAACATGAAAACTTGAAAGCATGAAAGTGAATCATCTATGCAAAGTTACAACGTTAAAAGAAGCATCCCAACTAGTTATAGAATCAGTTTAATATTTTTGGATCTGTTTTTAAAATTATTTAATGTTTTAAACATTTTAAACTTTTAAAATATTTTTTCTAAAATATATCAAACATATATAATATAAATATATATAAAAACATTTTTAATATATCATAACATATCAAAATATTTACACATTTTTAAATATTATCTAAAATATTTAAATTATTAAAACAAGGACTATATATGAATGACAGTCAGAAGCAAAATATTATACAGACATAAATAAAACAATAAACCTACCTAAAAAGTGTCAGTACAACAAATCATTATATTAAAAACAATAATTAATTGGACATCAGGACGTCAGATGCATTAGTTCTAATAAAAAAACAGACAATGCTACCATAAATGTATTCTATTATTAACCCCTTAAAACCGGAGGACGTACAATTACGCCCTCTAATAGGCGGCTCTAAACGCCGCCGGGCGTAATTGTACGCCCTCCGGTTTTTGTTAACTTACCCGGTCGCCGGCGGTCCCACGCCGGCGATCGCGGTTGGGGGGACTCCCAGGGAGCCCCCCGCGGCACATCCGTCCTCGTTGAAGCCCCCCGGCCATGTGAGAGTGGGGTCCTAGCGAGGACCCCACAATCATATGGCCGGGTATAGCTGGCTTCTGTATTGCCGGCAGGGGGGCTGCCTGTAATGACAGGTGGTCCCCCTGCTGGCTGAAAATAAAAGTAAAATAAGTTAATGGTGTAAAAAAAAATTATTATATATACTTAGATCATATATATATATATTATATATATATATATGATCTAAGTATATATACACATATACATACACCGTCTAGGTGTATTTTACTATTAATATATATATATATAATTATATATATATATTAATATCAAATTACACGTAGACTGATACTGATTAAATATATATATAATTATTGTTATATATATATTTATATATAATATTAAAAAAAAATGTAAATACGTTAAAAAATAAAATTAAAAAAATAATTAAAAATAAATAATTAAAAATATATAGATGTGTGTTATTTCGTTCTAACTGTATTGTGAAATTAATATATATATATATATATATATATATATATATATCAAAATACACGTAGAACGAAATAATATATATATCTATATACATAAATATATACGTATATATCACTATATATACCTATATATAAATAAAAATATTTTAAAAAAATTATATAGATATATACATATATATACACATAAGTATATATATACATATATTAAGTCTACATATATATTTATGTAATATTTTTACATAATTAGGTATCTTAATTAATTAAAATTAGCGGGACCTGCCTGACAACCCATGCCAAAAGTAAAGGGAATTTAATTTGCTAGCACTATATTTAACCCTATAACTTTCCAAGACACCATAAAATCTGTACATGGGGGGTACTGTTCTACTCGGGAGACTTCGCTGAACACAAATATTAGTGTTTAAAAACAGTAAAATGTATTACAACGATGATATCGCCAGTAAAAGTGAAGTTTTTTGCATTTTTCACGCACAAACAGCATTACACGGACAATATTATTGCTGCGATACTTTTTACTGTTTTGAAACACAAATATTTGTGTTCAGCGAAGTCTCCCGAGTACAACAGTACCCCTCATGTACAGGTTTTATGGTGTTTTCAAAAGTTACAGCGCCAAATATAAGGCTTGCGTTTCATTTTTTCACATTAAAATTCGCCAGATTGGTTACGTTGCCTTTGAGACCCTATGGTAGCCCAAGAATGAAAATTACCCCTATGATGGCATACCATTTGCAATAGTAGACAACCCAAGGTATTGCAAACGGGGTATGTCCAGTCTTTTTAGTAGCCACTTAGTCACAAACACTGGCCAAAATTGGCGTTTTTTGCATTTTTCACACACAAACAAATATTAACGCTAACTTTGGCCAGTGTTTGTGACCAAATGGCTACTAAAAAAGACTGGACATACCCCATTTGCAATACCTTGGGTTGTCTACTATTGCAAATGGTATGCCATTATGGGTGTAAATTTCATTCCCGGCTACTATACAGTCTCAAAGGCAACGTAACCAATCTGGCGAATTTCAATTTCAAATGTAACGTGCTATATTTGACCCTGTAACTTCCCAAAACGCCATAAAACCTGTACATAGGGGTACTGTCTTACACGTGAGACTTTACTAAATACAAATATGTGTATTTTATTGCAGTAAAATCAAACAGTATTATGACACTGACCTTTAAAATGCAATTTAGAACTAAAAAAATCAAAAAATCGTATTTTCTCCCATTTTTTTCATATTAAATTATGTTTCATAGCTAAATATTTGATATTAAATGAAAGCCCTGTTTCCCCTGAATAAAATGATATATAATAAGGGTGGGTGCATTTACTATGAAAGAGGTGTATTACGGTTGGACAGACATGTAGCGCAAATGCCAGGTTTTGTTTACATTTTGTTTTGTTCACAATGTGTACATTTGGCTCCGTCCTTAAGGGGTTAAATAAACAAATATGTTATATAAACACAAATACATGTATACTTACCTGTATACTTAACTGATTTTTTGTAGTTGTGGATTATGGCCCAAAATGGCAACAACAGCAGTCTGTTTTTCCCAAAAATGTTCTCATGGACACTACAAATAAAGATGATGAAAAGTTAAAGTCATTATCAAAAGCTTGGTGGGAAGACAATACACGATCTAGAAGAAGCAGAATTCAAAGAGACGTGAGTGCAGAGCAGGAATTTAGTTACAATACTGAGATACTTAGAGAAAATGTGGAGGAATTCACAAACCTTGCAAATAGCAGAAAAAAATATTCACTTATATACCCAGGGAAACACAAAGGTTTTAGAGAAATTAACAATGAACACATGGAAATGATTGAGCTTTTTGCAGATACTGGATCTGGCAGTAATACAACAACAGCAATAACTGAAATGTCTCAAGGAGTAGTGACTGAATCTCCAAGCATTGCTCCTGAAACATCTTCTGTGGAGTACAGTGAATCTACAAGCATTGCTCCTGAAACATCTCATGTGGAGTCCAGTGAACCTCCAAGCATTGTTTCTGAAACATCTCCTGTGGGGTCCACTAAAGCACCAAGCATTGCTCCTGAAACAACTCCTTCTGAATCTACTGGATCTCAAAGTATTGTTCCTGAAACATCTGTAGAATCAAGTAAAGCTCCAAGCATTGCGCCTGAAACATCTCCTGCAGAATCCAGTGAATCTCCAAGCATTACTCCTGAAACATCTCCTGTGGAGTCCAGTGAATCTCCAAGCTTTGCACCTGAAACAGCCCCTGCTGGGTTCACTGAGTCTCAAAGCATTATTTATGAAACAACACCTGCATATTTCCCCAAGGCTTCCAGCATTGCTCCTGAAACATCTCCTGCAGAGTCCAGTAAAGCTTCAAGCACTGCTTCAGAAACATCTCCTTCTGAATCTACTGAAACTCAAACCATTATTCCTGAACCATCTGTAGAATCCACTAAACCTCCAAGCATTTCTCCTGAAACATCTCCTGTGGAGTCCAGTGAATCTCCAAGCTTTGCTCCTGAAACATCCCCTGCTGGGTACACTGAATCTCAAAGCATTATTACTGAAACAACACCTGCAGATTTCACTAAAGCTTCAAGCGCTGCTCCTGAAATATCTCCAGCAGAGTCCACTAAAGCTCCCAGCTTTGCTCCTGAAACATCCACAGAATCCAGTAAAGCTCAAAGCACTGCTGCAGAAACATCTCCTGCAGAGTCCAGTAAAGCTCCAAACACTGCTCCAGAAACATCTCCTGTGGAATCCAGCGAACCTCCAAGCATTGCTCCTGAAACATCTCCTGTGGGGTTCACTACAGTACCAAGCATTGCTCCAGAAATATCTCCTGTGGAGTCCACTAAAGCACCAAGCAGTGCTCCTGAAACATCTCCTGCGGAGTCCACTAAAGCACCAAGCAGTGCTCCTGAAACATCTCCTGTGGAATCCAGTGAACCTCCAAGCAATGCTCCTGAAACATCTCCTGTGGGGTCCACTACAGTACCAAGCATTGCTCCTGAAACATCTCCTGTGGAGTCCAGTGAACCTCCAAGCATTGCTCCTGAAACATCTCCTGTGGGGTCCACTACAATACCAGGCATTAGTCCCGAAACATCTCCTGCATGGTCAACTAAAACATCTCCTGTGGAGTCCACTAAAGCACCAAGCATTGTTTCTGAAACCTCTCCTGCAGCATCCACTGAAACTCAAACCATTATTTCTGTAACATCTGTAGAATCCACTAAAGCTCCGAGCATGACTCCTGAAACATCTCCTGCGGAGTCCACTAACGCACCAAGCAGTGCTCTTGAAACATCATCTGCACAGTCAACTGAAACTCAAAGCATTATTTCTGAAACATCTCCTGTGGAGTCCAGTGAACCTCCAAGCATTGCTCCTGAAACTTCTCCTGCAGCATCCACTGGAACTCAAACCATTAATCCTGAAACATCTGTAGAATCCACTATTGCCCCAAGCATTGCTCCCGACACATCTCCTGCCGGCTCCAGTGAAACTCAAACCATTTTTCCTGAAACATCTTTAGAATCTACTAAAGCTCCAAGCATTGCTCCTGAAACATCTCCTGCGGAGTCCACTAAAGCATCAAGCAGTGCTCCTGAAACATCATCTGCACAGTCAATTGAAACGCAAAGCATTATTTCTGAAACATCTTTAGAATCTACTAAAGCTCCAAGCATTGCTCCTGAAACATCTGCGGCAGAGTCCTCTAAAGCACCAAGCAATGTTCCTGAAACCTCTCCTGCAACATCCACTGAAACGCAAACCATTAATCTTGAAACATCTGTAGAATCCACTATTGCCCCAAGCATTGCTCCTGTAACATCTCCTGAGAGGTCTACTAAAGCCCCGAGCATTGCTCCCGAAACATCTCCTGCAAGGTCTACTGAAAATCAAACTATTATCCCTGAAACATCGTTAGAATCTACTAAAGCTCCAAGCATTGCTCCTGAAACATCTCCTGCAGAGTCCTCTAAAGCACAGAGTATTACTCCTGAAACCTCTCCTGCAGCATCCACTGAAACTCAAACCATTATTACTGAAACATCTGTAGAATCAACTATTGCCCCAAGCATTGCTCCTGAAATATCTCCTGTGGAGTCCACTAAAGTACCAAGCAGTGCTCCTGAAACATCATCTGCACAGTCAACTGAACCTCAAAGCAATATTCCAGAAACATCTCCTGTGGAGTTCAGTGAACCTCCAAGCATTACTCCTGTAACATTTCCTGCAGAGTCCACTAAAGCATCGAGTATTTCTCCTGAAACCTCTCCTGCAGCATCCACTGAAACTCAAACCATTATTCCTGAAACATCTCCTGTGGAGTCCACTAAAGCACCAAGCATTGTTTCTGCAACATCTCCTGTGGGGTCCACTACAGTAGCAAGCATTGCTCCTGAAACATCTCCTGTGGAGTCCACTAAAGCACCAAGCAGTGCTCCTGAAACATCTCCTGTGGAGTCCAGTGAACCTCCGAGCATTGCTCCTGAAATATCTCCTGTGGGGTCCACTACAGTACCAGACATTGCTCCTGAAACATCTCCTGCAGGGTCAACTGAAACCTCTCCTGCAGCATCCACTGAAACTCAAACCTCTATTACAGAAAAATCTGTAGAATCAACTATTTACCCAAGCATTGCTCCTGAAACATCTCCTGTGGAGTCCACTAAAGCACCAAGCATTATTCCTGAAACGTCTCCTGCAGCATCCACTGAAACTCAAACCATTATTCCTGAAACACCTTTACAATCTACTAAAGCTCCAAGCATTGCTCCTGAAACATCTCCTGCAGAGTCCACTAAAGCACAGAGTATTGCTCCTGAAACCTCTCCTGCAGCATCCACTGAAAGTCAAACCATTATTCCTAAAACATCTGTAGAATCAACTATTTCCACAAGCATTGCTCCTGAAACATCTCCTGTGGAGTCCACTAAAGCACCAAGCATTGTTCCTGAAACCTCTCCTGCAGCATCCACTAAAGCTCCAAGCATTGCTCCTGAAACATCTCCTGCAGAGTCCACTAAAGCACTGAGTATTTCTCCTGAAACCTCTCCTGCAGCATCCACAGAAACTCAAACCATTATTACTGAAACATCTCCTGTGGAATCCAGTGAGCCTCCAAGCATTGCTCCTGAAACATCTCCTGTGGGGTCCACTACAGTACCAGGCATTGCTCCCGAAACATCTCCTGCAGGGTCAACTGAAACTCAAAGCATTATTTCTGAAACATCTCGTGTGGAGACCACTAAAGCACCAAGCATTGTTCCTGAAACCTCTCATGCAGCATCCACTGAAACTCAAACCATTATTCCAGAAAAATCTGTAGAATCAACTATTACCGCAAGCATTGCTCCTGAAACATCTCCTGTGGAGTCCACTAAAGCACCAAGTATTGTTCCTGAAACCTCTCCTGCAGCATCCACTGAAACTGAAACCATTATTCCTAAAACATCTGTAGAATCCACTAAAATTCCAAACATGACTCCTGAAACATCTCCTGCGGAGTCCACTAAAGCACCAAGCATTGCTCCTGAAACATCTCCTGTGGAATCCAGTGAACCTCCAAGTATTGCTCCTGAAACATTTCCTTTGGGGTCCACTACAGTACCAAGCATTGCTCCTGAAACATCTCTTGTGGAGTCCAGTGAACCTCCAAGCATTGCTCCTGAAACATCTCCTGTGGGGTCCACTACAGTACCAGGCATTGCTCCCAAAACCTCACCTGCAGGGTCAACTGAAACTCAAAGCATTATTTCTGAAACATCCCATGTGGAGTCCACTAAAGCACCAAGCATTGTTCCTGAAACCTCTCTTGCAGCATCCACTGAAACTCAAACCATTATTTCCGTAACATCTGTAGAATCGGCTAAAGTTCCAAGCATGACTCCTGAAACATCTCCTGCAGAGTCCACTAACGCTCCAAGCATTGCTCCTGAAACATCTCCTGCAGAGTTCACTAAAGCATCGAGTATTTCTCCTGAAACCTCTCCTGCAGCATCCACAGAAACTCAAGCCATTATTACTGAAACATCTCCTGTGGAGTCCACTAAAGCACCAAGCATTGTTCCTGAAACCTCTCCTGCAGCATCCACTGAAACTCAAACCATTATTCCTGAAACATCTCCTGTGGAGTCCACTAAAGCACCAAGCATTGTTCCTGAAACCTCTCCTGCAGCATCCACTGAAACTCAAACCATTATTCCTGAAACATCTCCTGTGGAGTCCACTAAAGCACCAAGCATTGTTCCTGAAACCTCTCCTGCAGCATCCACTGAAACTCAAGCCATTATTACTGAAACATCTCCTGTGGAGTCCACTAAAGCACCAAGCATTGTTCCTGAAACCTCTCCTGCAGCATCCACTGAAACTCAAACCATTATTCCAGAAAAAACTGTAGAACAACATTCCGCAGCATTGCTCCTGAAACATCTCCTGTGGAGTCCACTAAAGCACCAAGCATTGTTCCTGAAACCTCTCCTGCAGCATCCACACTGAAACTCAAAACTCAAATTATTATTCCTGAAACATCTCCTGTGGAGTCCACTAAAGCACCAGCATTGCTCCTGAAACATCTCCTGTGGAATCCAGTCTCCAAGAAACATCTCCTTTGGGGTCCACCAGTGCATTGCTCCAAAAACCTCACCTGCAGGGTCAACTGAAACTCAAACCATTATTTCTGAAACATCTCGTGTGGAGTCCACTAAAGCACCAAGCATTGTTCCTGAAACCTCTCTTGCAGCATCCACTGAAACTCAAACCATTATTTCCGTAACATCTGTAGAATCGGCTAAAGTTCCAAGCATGACTCCTGAAACATATCCTGCAGAGTCCACTAAAGCTCTAAGCATTGCTCCTGAAACATCTCCTGCAGAGTCCACTAAAGCATCGAGTATTTCTCCTGAAACCTCTCCTGCAGCATCCACAGAAACTCAAGCCATTATTACTGAAACATCTCCTGTGGAGTCCACTAAAGCACCAAGCATTGTTCCTGAAACCTCTCCTGCAGCATCCACTGAAACTCAAACCATTATTCCTGAAACATCTCCTGTGGAGTCCACTAAAGCACCAAGCATTGCTCCTGCAACATCTCCTGTGGGGTCCACTACGGTAGCAAGCATTGCTCCTGATACATCTCCTGTGGAGTCCACTAAAGCACCCAGCAGTGCTCCTGATACATCTCCTCTGGAGTCCACTAAAGCACCAAGCAGTGCTCCTGATACATCTCCCGTGGAGTCCACTAAAGCACCAAGCATTGTTCCTGAAACCTCTCCTGCAGCATCCACAGAAACTCAAGCCATTATTCCTGAAACATCTCCTGTGGAGTCCACTAAAGCACCAAGCATTGTTCCTGAAACCTCTGCTGCAGCATCCACTGAAACTCAAGCCATTATTACTGAAACATCTCCTGTGGAGTCCACTAAAGCACCAAGCATTGTTCCTGAAACCTCTCCTGCAGCATCCACTGAAACTCAAACCATTATTCCTGAAACATCTCCTGTGGAGTCCACCAAAGCACCAAGCATTGTTCCTGAAACCTCTCCTGCAGCATCCACTGAAACTCAAACCATTATTCCTGAAACATCTCCTGTGGAGTCCACTAAAGCACCAAGCATTGCTCCTGCAACATCTCCTGTGGGGTCCACTACGGTAGCAAGCATTGCTCCTGAAACATCTCCTGTGGAGTCCACTAAAGCACCAAGCAGTGCTCCTGAAACATCTCCTGTGGAGTCCAGTGAACCTCCGAGCATTGCTCCTGAAATATCTCCTGTGGGGTCCACTACAGTACCAGACATTGCTCCTGAAACAACTCCTGCAGGGTCAACTGAAACCTCTCCTGCAGCATCCACTGAAACTCAAACCTCTATTCCAGAAAAATCTGTAGAATCAACTATTTCCCCAAGCATTGCTCCTGAAACATCTCCTGTGGAGTCCACTAAAGCACCAAGCATTATTCCTGAAACGTCTCCTGCAGCATTCACTGAAACTCAAACCATTATTCCTGAAACATCTTTACAATCTACTAAAGCTCCAAGCATTGCTCCTGAAACATCTCCTGCAGAGTCCACTAAAGCACAGAGTATTGCTCCAGAAACCTCTCCTGCAGCATCCATTGAAACTCAAACCATTATTCCTAAAACATCTGTAGAATCAACTATTTCCACAAGCATTGCTCCTGAAACATCTCCTGTGGAGTCCACTAAAGCACCAAGCATTGTTCCTGAAACCTCTCCTGCAGCATCCACTAAAGCTCCAAGCATTGCTCCTGAAACATCTCCTGCAGAGTCCACTAAAGCACCGAGTATTTCTCCTGAAACCTCTCCTGCAGCATCCACAGAAACTCAAACCATTATTACTGAAACATCTCCTGTGGAATCCAGTGAACCTCCAAGCATTGCTCCTGAAACATCTCCTGTGGGGTCCACTACAGTACCAGGCATTGCTCCCGAAACATCTCCTGCAGGGTCAACTGAAACTCAAAGCATTATTTCTGAAACATCTCGTGTGGATACCACTAAAGCACCAAGCATTGTTCCTGAAACCTCTCATGCAGCATCCACTGAAACTCAAACCATTATTCCAGAAAAAACTGTAGAATCAACTATTTCCGCAAGCATTGCTCCTGAAACATCTCCTGTGGAGTCCACTAAAGCACCAAGTATTGTTCCTGAAACCTCTCCTGCAGCATCCACTGAAACTGAAACCATTATTCCTAAAACATCTGTAGAATCCACTAAAATTCCAAACATGACTCCTGAAACATCTCCTGCGGAGTCCACTAAAGCACCAAGCATTGCTCCTGAAACATCTCCTGTGGAATCCAGTGAACCTCCAAGTATTGCTCCTGTAACATCTCCTTTGGGGTCCACTACAGTACCAGGCATTGCTCCAAAAACCTCACCTGCAGGGTCAACTGAAACTCAAACCATTATTTCTGAAACATCTCGTGTGGAGTCCACTAAAGCACCAAGCATTGTTCCTGAAACCTCTCTTGCAGCATCCACTGAAACTCAAAACATTATTTCCGTAACATCTGTAGAATCGGCTAAAGTTCCAAGCATGACTCCTGAAACATTTCCTGCAGAGTCCACTAAAGCTCCAAGCATTGCTCCTGAAACATCTTGTGCAGAGTCCACTAAAGCACCGAGTATTTCTCCTGAAACCTCTCCTGCAGCATCCACAGAAACTCAAACCATTATTACTGAAACATCTCCTATGGAGTCCACTAAAGCACCAAGCATTGTTCCTGAAACCTCTCCTGCAGCATCCACTGAAACTCAAACCATTTATTCCTGAAACATCTCCTGAGGAGTCCACTAAAGCACCAAGCATTGTTCCTGAAATCTCTCTTGCAGCATCCACTGAAACTCAAAACATTATTTCCGTAACATCTGTAGAATCGGCTAAAGTTCCAAGCATGACTCCTGAAACATTTCCTGCAGAGTCCACTAAAGCTCCAAGCATTGCTCCTGAAACATCTCCTGCAGAGTCCACTAAAGCACCAAGCATTGTTCCTGAAACCTCTCCTGCAGCATCCACTGAAACTCAAACCATTATTCCTGAAACATCTCCTGTGGAGTCCACTAAAGCACCAAGCATTGTTCCTGAAACCTCTCCTGCAGCATCCACTGAAACTCAAACCATTATTCCTGAAACATCTCCTGTGGAGTCCACTAAAGCACCAAGCATTGTTCCTGAAACCTCTCCTGCAGCATCCACTGAAACTCAAGCCATTGTTACTGAAACATCTCCTGTGGAGTCCACTAAAGCACCAAGCATTGTTCCTGAAACCTCTCCTGCAGCATCCACTGAAACTCAAACCATTATTCCTGAAACATCTCCTGTGGAGTCCACTAAAGCACCAAGCATTGTTCCTGAAACCTCTCCTGCAGCATCCACTGAAACTCAAGCCATTGTTACTGAAACATCTCCTGTGGAGTCCACTAAAGCACCAAGCATTGTTCCTGAAACCTCTCATGCAGCATCCACTGAAACTCAAACCATTATTCCAGAAAAAACTGTAGAATCAACTATTTCCGCAAGCATTGCTCCTGAAACATCTCCTGTGGAGTCCACTAAAGCACCAAGTATTGTTCCTGAAACCTCTCCTGCAGCATCCACTGAAACTGAAACCATTATTCCTAAAACATCTGTAGAATCCACTAAAATTCCAAACATGACTCCTGAAACATCTCCTGTGGAGTCCACTAAAGCACCAAGCATTGCTCCTGAAACATCTCCTGTGGAGTCCACTAACAGTCCACCAAGCATTGCTCCTGAAACCTCTCCTGCAGCATCCACTGAAACTCAAACCATTATTTCTGAAACATCTCCTGTGGAGTCCACTAAAGCACCAAGCATTGTTCCTGAAACCTCTCTTGCAGCATCCACTGAAACTCAAACCATTATTTCCGTAACATCTGTAGAATCGGCTAAAGTTCCAAGCATGACTCCTGAAACATCTCCTGCAGAGTCCACTAAAGCTCCAAGCATTGCTCCTGAAACATCTCCTGCAGAGTCCACTAAAGCATCGAGTATTTCTCCTGAAACCTCTCCTGCAGCATCCACAGAAACTCAAGCCATTATTACTGAAACATCTCCTGTGGAGTCCACTAAAGCACCAAGCATTGTTCCTGAAACCTCTCCTGCAGCATCCACTGAAACTCAAACCATTATTCCTGAAACATCTCCTGAGGAGTCCACTAAAGCACCAAGCATTGTTCCTGAAACCTCTCTTGCAGCATCCACTGAAACTCAAAACATTATTTCCGTAACATCTGTAGAATCGGCTAAAGTTCCAAGCATGACTCCTGAAACATTTCCTGCAGAGTCCACTAAAGCTCCAAGCATTGCTCCTGAAACATCTCCTGCAGAGTCCACTAAAGCACCGAGTATTTCTCCTGAAACCTCTCCTGCAGCATCCACAGAAACTCAAACCATTATTACTGAAACATCTCCTATGGAGTCCACTAAAGCACCAAGCATTGTTCCTGAAACCTCTCCTGCAGCATCCACTGAAACTCAAACCATTATTCCTGAATCATCTGTAGAATCAACTATTTCCCCAAGCATTGCTCCTGAAACATCTCCTGTGGAGTCCACTAAAGCACCAAGCAGTGCTCCTGAAACATCTCATGTAGAGTCCAGTGAACCTCCAAGCATTGCTCCTAAAACATCTCCTGTGGGGTCCACTACAGTACCAAGCATTGCTCCTGAAACATCTCCTGCAGAGTCCACTAAAGCATCGAGTATTTCTCCTGAAACCTCTCCTGCAGCATCCACAGAAACTCAAGCCATTATTACTGAAACATCTCCTGTGGAGTCCACTAAAGCACCAAGCATTGTTCCTGAAACCTCTCCTGCAGCATCCACTGAAACTCAAGCCATTGTTACTGAAACATCTCCTGTGGAGTCCACTAAAGCACCAAGCATTGTTCCTGAAACCTCTCCTGCAGCATCCACTGAAACTCAAACCATTATTCCTGAAACATCTCCTGTGGAGTCCACTAAAGCAACAAGCATTGTTCCTGAAACCTCTCCTGCAGCATCCACAGAAACTCAAGCCATTATTACTGAAACCTCTCCTGTGGAGTCCACTAAAGCACCAAGCATTGTTCCTGAAACCTCTCCTGCAGCATCCACTGAAACTCAAACCATTATTTCTGAAACATCTCCTGTGGAGTCCACTAAAGCACCAAGCATTGTTCCTGAAACCTCTCTTGCAGCATCCACTGAAACTCAAACCATTATTTCCGTAACATCTGTAGAATCGGCTAAAGTTCCAAGCATGACTCCTGAAACATCTCCTGCAGAGTCCACTAAAGCTACAAGCATTGCTCCTGAAACATCTCCTGCAGAGTCCACTAAAGCATCGAGTATTTCTCCTGAAACCTCTCCTGCAGCATCCACAGAAACTCAAGCCATTATTACTGAAACATCTCCTGTGGAGTCCACTAAAGCACCAAGCATTGTTCCTGAAACCTCTCCTGCAGCATCCACTGAAACTCAAACCATTATTCCTGAAACATCTCCTGAGGAGTCCACTAAAGCACCAAGCATTGTTCCTGAAACCTCTCTTGCAGCATCCACTGAAACTCAAAACATTATTTCCGTAACATCTGTAGAATCGGCTAAAGTTCCAAGCATGACTCCTGAAACATTTCCTGCAGAGTCCACTAAAGCTCCAAGCATTGCTCCTGAAACATCTCCTGCAGAGTCCACTAAAGCACCGAGTATTTCTCCTGAAACCTCTCCTGCAGCATCCACAGAAACTCAAACCATTATTACTGAAACATCTCCTGTGGAGTCCACTAAAGCACCAAGCATTGTTCCTGAAACCTCTCCTGCAGCATCCACTGAAACTCAAACCATTATTCCTGAATCATCTGTAGAATCAACTATTTCCCCAAGCATTGCTCCTGAAACATCTCCTGTGGAGTCCACTAAAGCACCAAGCAGTGCTCCTGAAACATCTCATGTAGAGTCCAGTGAACCTCCAAGCATTGCTCCTAAAACATCTCCTGTGGGGTCCACTACAGTACCAAGCATTGCTCCTGAAACATCTCCTGCAGAGTCCACTAAAGCATCGAGTATTTCTCCTGAAACCTCTCCTGCAGCATCCACAGAAACTCAAGCCATTATTACTGAAACATCTCCTGTGGAGTCCACTAAAGCACCAAGCATTGTTCCTGAAACCTCTCCTGCAGCATCCACTGAAACTCAAACCATTATTCCTGAAACATCTCCTGAGGAGTCCACTAAAGCACCAAGCATTGTTCCTGAAACCTCTCTTGCAGCATCCACTGAAACTCAAAACATTATTTCCGTAACATCTGTAGAATCGGCTAAAGTTCCAAGCATGACTCCTAAAACATCTCCTGCAGAGTCCACTAAAGCTCCAAGCATTGCTCCTGAAACATCTCCTGCAGAGTCCACTAAAGCACCGAGTATTTCTCCTGAAACCTCTCCTGCAGCATCCACAGAAACTCAAACCATTATTACTGAAACATCTCCTGTGGAGTCCACTAAAGCACCAAGCATTGTTCCTGAAACCTCTCCTGCAGCATCCACTGAAACTCAAACCATTATTCCTGAATCATCTGTAGAATCAACTATTTCCCCAAGCATTGCTCCTGAAACATCTCCTGTGGAGTCCACTAAAGCACCAAGCAGTGCTCCTGAAACATCTCATGTAGAGTCCAGTGAACCTCCAAGCATTGCTCCTAAAACATCTCCTGTGGGGTCCACTACAGTACCAAGCATTGCTCCTAAAACATCACCTGCAGAGTCAACTGAACCTCAAAGCAATTTTCCAGAAACATCTCCTGTGGAGTCCACTAAAGCACCAAGCATTGTTCCTGAAACCTCTCCTGCAGCATCCACTGAAACTGAAACCATTATTTCTAAAACATCTGTAGAATCCACTAAAACTCCAAACATGACTCCTGAAACATCTCCTGCAGAGTCCACTAAAGCACCAAGCATTGTTCCTGAAACCTCTCATGCAGCATCCACTGAAACTCAAACCATTATTCCTGAATCATCTGTAGAATCAACTATTTCCCCAAGCATTGCTCCTGAAACATCTCCTGCAGAGTCCACTAAAGCTCCAAGCATTGCTCCTGAAACATCTCATGTAGAGTCCACTAAAGCATTGAGTATTTCTCCTGAAACCTCTCCTGCAGCATCCACAGAAACTCAAGCCATTATTACTGAAACATCTCCTGTGGAGTCCACTAAAGCACCAAGCATTGTTCCTGAAACCTCTCCTGCAGCATCCACTGAAACTCAAACCATTATTTCCGTAACATCTGTAGAATCGGCTAAAGTTCCAAGCATGACTCCTGAAACATCTCCTGCAGAGTCAACTAAAGCTCCAAGCATTGCTCCTGAAACATCTCCTGCAGAGTCCACTAAAGCATCGAGTATTTCTCCTGAAACCTCTCCTGCAGCATCCACAGAAACTCAAGCCATTATTACTGAAACATCTCCTGTGGAGTCCACTAAAGCACCAAGCATTGTTCCTGAAACCTCTCCTGCAGCATCCACTGAAACTCAAACCATTATTCCTGAAACATCTCCTGAGGAGTCCACTAAAGCACCAAGCATTGTTCCTGAAACCTCTCTTGCAGCATCCACTGAAACGCAAAACATTATTTCCGTAACATCTGTAGAATCGGCTAAAGTTCCAAGCATGACTCCTGAAACATCTCCTGCAGAGTCCACTAAAGCTCCAAGCATTGCTCCTGAAACATCTCCTGCAGAGTCCACTAAAGCACCAAGTATTTCTCCTGAAACCTCTCCTGCTGCATCCACAGAAACTCAAACCATTATTACTGAAACATCTCCTATGGAGTCCACTAAAGCACCAAGCAATGTTCCTGAAACCTCTCCTGCAGCATCCACTGAAACGCAAACCATTATTCCTGAATCATCTGTAGAATCAACTATTTCCCCAAGCATCGCTCCTGAAACATCTCCTGTGGAGTCCACTAAAGCACCAAGCAGTGCTCCTGAAACATCTCATGTAGAGTCCAGTGAACCTCCAAGCATTGCTCCTAAAACATCTCCTGTGGGGTCCACTACAGTACCAAGCTTTGCTCCTAAAACATCACCTGCAGAGTCAACTGAACCTCAAAGCAATTTTCCAGAAACATCTCCTGTGGAGTCCACTAAAGCACCAAGCATTGTTCCTGAAACCTCTCCTGCAGCATCCACTGAAACTGTAACCATTATTTCTAAAACATCTGTAGAATCCACTAAAACTCCAAACATGACTCCTGAAACATCTCCTGCGGAGTCCACTAAAGCACCAAGCATTGTTCCTGAAACCTCTCATGCAGCATCCATTGAAACTCAAACCATTATTCCTAAAACATCTGTAGAATCAACTACTGCCCCAAGCATTGCTCCTGAAACATCTCCTGTGGAGTCCACTAAAGCACCAAGCAGTGCTCCTGAAACATCACCTGCACAGTCAACTGAACCTCAAAGCAATATTCCAGAAACATCTCATGTGGAGTTCAGTGAACCTCCAAGCATTACTCCTGTAACATTTCCTGCGGAGTCCACTAAAGCACCGAGTATTGCTCCTGAAACCTCTCATGCATCATCCACTGAAACTCAAACCATTATTTCTGAAACATCTGTAGAATCAACTATTTCCCCAAGCATTGCTCCTGAAACATCTCCTGCGGAGTCCACTAAGGCACCAAGCATTGCTCCTGAAACATCTCTTGTGGAATCCAGTGAACCTCCAAGTATTGGTCCTGAAACATCTCCTGTGGGGTCCACTACAGTACCAAGCATTGCTCCTGAAACATCTCCTGTGGAATCCAGTGAACCTCCAAATATTGCTCCTGAAACATCTCCTGTGGGGTCCACTACAGTAGCAAGCATTGCTCCTGAAACATCTCCTGTGGAGTCCACTAAAGCACCAATCAGTGCTCCTGAAACATCTCCTGTGGAGTCCAGTGAACCTCCGAGCATTGCTCCTGAAACATCTCCTGTGGGGTCCACTACAGTACCAGACATTGCTCCTGAAACATCTCCTGCAGGGTTAACTGAAACCTCTCCTGCAGCATCCACTGAAACTCAAACCATTATTCCAGAAAAATCTGTAGAATCAACTATTTCCCCAAGCATTGCTCCTGAAACATCTCCTGTGGAGTCCACTAAAGCACCAAGCATTGTTCCTGAAACCTCTCCTGTAGCATCCACTGAAACTCAAACCATTATTTCTGTAACATCTGTAGAATCCACTAAAGCTCCAAGCATGAATCCTGAAACAGCTCCTGCAGAGTCCACTAAAGCTCCAAGCATTGCTCCTGAAACATCTCCTGCAGAGTCCACTAAAGCACCGCATATTTCTCCTGAAACCTCTCCTGCAGCATCCACTGAAACTCAAACCATTATTCCTGAAACACCTCCTGTGGAGTCCACTAAAGCACCAAGTATTGTTCCTGAAACCTCTCCTGCAGCAACCACTGAAACTCAAACCATTATTCCTGAAACATCTTTACAATCTACTAAAGCTCCAAGCATTGCTCCTGAAACATCTCCTTCAGAGTCCACTAAAGCACAGAGTATTGCTCCTGAAACCTTTCCTGCAGCATCCACTGAAACTCAAACTATTATTCCTAAAACATCTGTAGAATCAACTATTTCCACAAGCATTGCTCCTGAAACATCTCCTGTGGAGTCCACTAAAGCACCAAGCATTGTTCCTGAAACCTCTCCTGCAGCATCCACTGAAACTAAAACCATTATTCCTAAAACATCTGTAGAATCCATTAAAACTCCTACCATGACTCCTGAAACATCTCCTGTTGAGTCCACTAAAGCACCAAGCATTGCTCCTGAAACATCTCCTGTGGAATCCAGTGAACCTCCAAGCATTGCTTCTGAAACATCTCCTGTGGGGTCCACTACAGTACCAGGCATTGCTCCCGAAACATCTCCTGCAGGGTCAACTGAAACTCAAAGCATTATTTCTGAAACATCTCCTGTGGAGACCACTAAAGCACCAAGCATTGTTCCTGAAACCTCTCATGCAGCATCCACTGAAACTCAAACCATTATTCCTGAAACATCTGTAGAATCAACTATTTCCCCAAGCATTGGTCCTAAAACATCCCCTGCAGAGTCCACCATACTTTCTAGTACAGGTCCTGAAACATCTTCAGGAGTATCTTCCAATGCTCCAACCATTGCTCCTGTAACATCCCTTATATCCTCTACTAAGGCTTCCAGCATTACTCCAGAATCATCTCCTGCAGAGTTCACTAAAGCTCCAAGCCTTGCTCCTGAAACATTGCCTGCAGAGTTGACTAAAGTTCCCAGCATTTCTCCTGAATCATCCCCTGTAGTGTCCAATAAAGCTTCTAGCATTGCTCCTGAAACATCTTCTTCATTGTCCTCTAAGGCTCCAAGCATTGCTCCTGATACATCTACTGTGTCCTCTACTAAAGCTCCCACCACTGGTCCTGAAACCTCCACTGCAGAGTCCACTAAAGTTCCCAGCATTGCTCCTGAATCATCTCCTGTAGTGTCCACTAAAGCTCCTAGCATTGCTCCTGAAACATCTTCATCACTGTCCTCTAAAGCTCCAAGCATTTCTCCTGATACATCTACTGTTTCCTCTACTAAAGTTCCCACCATTGGTCCTGAAACCTCCACTGCAGAGTCAACAAAATCTCCCAGCATTGCTCCTGAATCATCTCCCGTAGTGTCCACTAAAGCTCCTAGCTTTGCTCCTGAAACATCTTCAGCAGAGTCCACTAAAGCTCCAAGTATTGCTCCTGTAACATCCCTTGTTTCCTCTACTACAGGAAATGCCTCTGAATCATCTCCTGTAATGTCTACTAAAGCTACTAGCATTTCTCCTGGTACATCTCCTGCAGAATCCACTAAAGCTCCAAGTATTGCTCCTGTGACATCCCCTGTTTCCTCTACGAAAGCTTCTAGCATTGCTCCTGAATCATCTCCTGTAGTGTCCACTAAAGCCACTAGCATTGCTCCTGAAACATCTTCAGCAGAGTCCACTAAAGCTCCAAGTATTGCTCCTGTAACATCCCTTGCTTCCTCTACTACAGGAATTGCCTCTGAATCATCTCATGGAATGTCTACTAAAGCTACTAGCATTTCTCCTGGTACATCTCCTGCAGAGTCCACTAAAGCTCAAAGTACTACTCCTGAATCATTCCCTGTTGAGTCCAGTAAAGCGCCAAGTATTGCTCCTGAAACAACCTCCACAAAAACCACTCAAGCTGGAAGCACTACTCCCATAAAACCCACTGAACCTCGTAGCACTACATCTGAAACTACTTCTGCAGAATCAACTGAACCTCCTCGTCCAACCACCCCCTCACCAATCATCACTACCATCATTACTTCAAGATTGCCTACAACCACAATGTCTTCTCGAAATCCAAGTGAGTTATGTAAACCCATATATATTTAGGAACATGATGATGAGTGTGTGCATGTTTCAGTCTGCCAGTGATTAGTAGTTGATTGAGTTGAGTTCTTAAAGCTGCTACTTCCACTAATTTGTTTTGATATAATTGTATTGAAGGGGTATTGTATATACTTGTAAGCTTTACAAAAATAATCTGCTGGAAATGTGTTGTTAATTTAGCATTGAATGTGCACCTGAACCTTATGTTGTTTATATAAAACCACATTACAGAAACCCCCCTCATCCTCTTACCATGCCTTTGTTTGTTAACTATTATTATATACAAAAAAAATAAAAAAAACACTTTTTTTTTCTCCTTTTTAGTTAACTGTCAGAATGGAGCTACCAATGATGGAACTAAATGTCTTTGTACAGAATTATTTTATGGGACCTCATGTGAGAATGCGATAGAAAGAGTTGAGGTTGCAGGTAAGTGTCTCCACAATACAATATACAGCATAAGCAACTACCAATATAGACTTTGGGTGCACACAAATCATCTGGGCAATGAGCCTTGGATAGACATGGTTCAAATAGGCGGGTTTGGATACTTAACAGGTGGAGTCAGTTTCTTACTATGGTGACCACAATGCATGATCTGTTTCTGTGGACCAGACTCGTCATATTGAGAACCTGATGGTCTTTTCTTTTACCTGTGAGAATCTGTCTATGATCCCAGGATTCAAGGAAATGGTTAATGCATAACTTAATAACAGTTATCCCCTTTAAAATATGCTTATTCTTCCTTAGTATATGTCTAAACTAGAAACTTGAAGGATCTTACAAACAACTTTGAGAATATTACTGTGAGATTTAGACATTGACGTTATATCACTACATCTCTGTGGCAAACCTTGAATGTTCTTTATAAGGTTTAACTCTGGCTTGTCAGTTGTTCAAAATGAATTCAAAGTGAAATTCAAAATGTTAGTCTCAAATAGCTCAAAAAAAAAAATGTGGCCTACAATTTTAAATTTTAAAGAAAATTATTACTTAAAGGACCACTATAGTGCCAGGAAAACAAACTAGTTTTCCTGGCACTATAGAGACATTAGGTCCCCCCACCCTCAGGGCCCCCCTCCCGCTGGGCTGAAGGGGTTAAAAACCCTTCAGCCACTTACCTTTCTCGGCGCTGGTGACCTCTCCTCCGCCTGCCAACGGCAGATTCGAATGTGCATGCGCGGCAAGAGCCACAAGCTTTCCTATGGACATCCAGCATCTTCTCGGGGAAGTGCCTCTAGCGGCTGTCAGTGAGACAGCCACTAGAGGCTGGATTAACCCTCAGTGAAACATAGCAGTTTCTCTGAAACTAATATGTTTTCATCTGCAGGGTTAAAACAAGAGGGACCTGACACCCAGACCAATTCATTGAGCTGAAGTGGTCTGGGTGCCTACAGTGGTCCTTTAAGCTATAGGTGAAGTGGTCCTGAGACAGTATGAAGCCAGATAATATCTTATATTAGACATGTATACAAATAATTTTCTCCTGCAATGAATGGATCACATTAATGTCTGAATAAAGCGACCTATCGTGTAAAACCCAGACAGAACGATTTGTTCGGGTGTAGATTACCAGTAATTTGATTTGTTTATTGCAGGTCAAAAGGATTTGTGCACATGTCTAGATTTCAATCAATAGGTAAACTGAATGATGTATTTGTGCTTCTTTGCATATAACCAATGTTTCCGTCCAACTACCTTGACAAATTAAGAAAAATTTGATAATGGGACTGAAATAGTGAATGTATACAAGTCCTGTGAGTGTGTTCTTCACTTGATGATCTCAGCCAATCCAGTACCTTCCTGTAGCTGTTGTGCATGTGTGGCAAAAAGCTGCACGGCCAATCAGCATGTCCATGAGGAGCGTTCAGTGCTTCCATGCAGACCCAATCGAATACACTGCCCCCCCCCCATTCTAGTACACTGCCCACAAATCCAATACATTGCCCACAAATCCAATACACTGCCCTCCACCCTCCACACTTATACACTGCGCCCTCCACCTAATCTAATACACTGCCCCTTTACCTGATACACTGCCCCCTCCCTCCTTTCTAATTTAATACACTCCCTTCCCCCAATTTAACACGTTGCCCCCCTCCCACCACTATAATACACTGCCGTCCCCCAATTTAACACGTTGCCCCCTCCCACCACTATAATACACTGCCCACTACCTCCCTCAATTTAATACACTGCCCCTTCCCTCCCCCAAATTAATACACTGCCTTCTCCCTGCCCCAAATTAATACACTGCCCAATCCCTACCCCAAATTAATACACCACCCATCCTCCCCAATTTAACACACTACACAGGAAGTTCCCATAATCCCTCTTCTCCTACCTTAAGATGAGCCATTCGTCCTCTAGTTCCAGCCCTGCTCTTCTCTGCTCAAGAAGAATGGCACTGCAAGCAGGAGAGAAGGGGGAGTGGCTGTCCTGCTCTGCAGAAAGCCAGCCACTCTGCACTATTGTGGCTGCAAGAGCCCACAATCGCCCGTGGGAGGGAAGACAAGAATCAGACAGTAAAAATCTTTCCTGTCTTACAGCTAGTCACATCCATAGCACAAAGCAACCCCAGGGCAGGCGGGCCGCAAAGATATTCATTGTGGCCGGAAGTTTGACATGCTTGTTCTAGAGTTTTCCTAATGGATTCTGCTTTGTCTAAGCGCTTGGGAACCTACAAGATTTTTACTATTTGTGGCAATACATCTGACATAACTTCTCTCCCCCTGCTAGACGCTGTGATTATTACCGAAGTTAAAGTGGAACTGAGACTTACTGAGCAAACATTTACAGAAGCTCTTAAAGATAATACAAGCGAAGAATATAAGGAATTTGAGAAAGACTTCAAAACCCAGGTAAGAATGTGAGCACTTAAAGGACCACTATGGGCACCCAGATCACTTCAGCTTAATGAAGTGGTCTGGGTGCCAGGTCCATCTAGGATTAACCATGCCTGCTGTAATCTGCTATCTGTGGCCTGCTAAACTGCTATCAGTGGCGTACACATGACCCATGGGGCCCCGGTGCGAAAATTGATCCGTGCCCCACCCCCCGGCGCTTACTCTGCGCGGGCCGGGGCCGCAACACATGGAGGTGGGCACCGGGTCGTAGGGGTTGCAGAGCTGCGACCCCTGCGACCGTGGTATGTACGCCAGTGCATGCAGATTCACACACCCTTAAAGGACCACTACAGACACCCAGATCACATCAGCTCAATGAAGTGGTCTGGGTGCCAGGTCCCTCTAGTTTTAACCCTGGAGCTGAAAACATAGCAGTTTCAGAGAAACTGCTATGTTTCACTGAGGGTTAATCCAGTCTCTAGTGGCTGTCTCATTGACAGCCGCTAGAGGAGCTTCCGCGATTCTCACTGTGAAAATCACAGTGAGAAGACACTGAATGTCCATAGGAAAGCATTTAGTAATGCTTTCCTATGGGCGGTTTGAATGCGCGCGCGGCTCTTGCCGCGCATGCGCATTCGGAGCTGAGAGGTGGAGGGATCCCCAGTGCCAGGGGAGTCTGGCACTGGAGAAAGGTAAGTGCTGAAGACACACACACACACACTGTCACAAACAGACACATACACACTAGCTAACAGACACACACATTTACTGACAGAGACACACTCAGCGACAGACATACATACACACTCACTTATAAAACACTCTCACTGACAAACACTCACTAACAGACACACACAAACACAGACAGTAACACACTCACTAGCAGACACACACTCTAACACAAACACTAACACACACACTCACTAACACAAACACTAACACGTGCACATACACACACTAACACACACACACACACTAACATACACTAACACATACACACCATCACTAACACACACACACTAACACACACAAACACACAAACACACTAACACACACTAACACTAACACACACTAACACACACACACACACACACTAACACACACTCACTAACACACACACACACTAACACTAACACACACACACTTTAAAAAAAAATGTAATCCCCCGAGCCTCCTTATCTTGGGGTCCAGTGGGGCTGCCCGGCAGCCAGTCACCCGGCGTGCAGGCAGGCTGGCTGGCTGGTGCGTGAGGGAGCACTGTCCTCTCAGTGCTTCCTCTTCAGCTCCCTCGCGCGCCGCATACTGATGCTGGAGCCGGTATCAGTGCGGTGCACGAGGGAGCAGAAGAGGGAGCACTCAGGAGAGAGTGCTCCCTCGCACGCCCGTCTGGTGATACCAGGGCCAGCCTCGGGGGGGCCTGAGGTGGCCGGCTCCTGGGCCCCCAGGAAAAGAGGCTGGCCACAGTGGCATAAATACCTAGACGCAGGGCGGCCGGGCCCCCTGGTGGGCCGGACACGGTCGCAGCCGCGACCCCTGTGACCCCAGTATGTACGCCACTGACTGCTATGTTTACTTTAGGGTTAATCCAGCCCTAGTGGCTGTCTCATTGACAGCCACTAGAGGCGCTTCCGACTGTGATTTTCACAGTGAGAATGCTTTCCTAGACTGGCTGAATGCGCACGCAGCTTTTGCCGATGATGCCGATTCAGCCGATGACATCAGAAGAGGGAGGAGAGTCCCCAGCGCTGAGGGAGTCCGGCACTGGAGAAAGGTGAGTTTTTAACACCTTCCTCCCCCTTCAGCCCGGCGGGAGTGGGACCCTGAGGGTGGGGGCAAAACAAACAAGTTTGTTTTCCTGGCACTATAGTGGTCCTTTAATATATGGTGAACATTTAACAGTTTGAAATCCTGATACACGAGTTATCCTTGAACTCCTTCACCACTGATAACTTTTTTATCAATAAATTATTAGCATTACATTTATTAGAAGCAAGGGATGCATAGATAGAATATAAGTATAACACGGCAATTTTGTATATAGATTGCTTTGATGACAAACTTAAAAATAAAAAATATGTAAATGTACTAATGAAAGTATTTAGAAAATTGGGCAGACTAGATGGGCCAAATGGTTCTTATCTGCCGTCACATTCTATGTTTCTATGTTTCTAAGTTTGCATACCCTTGAATAATTAGTAATATTTGTACCATTTTTAAAGTGAGTTAGTTAGCAGGCAAAACACATTTATTTTATTTCTTATGGGATTCATATTCAACTGTAGTTTATAACAGACTGGCACAATCATAAAACAAAACATGGCAACAAAGAAAAAAATGAAATGTTCAAATATCTGCTGCATACCCTTAGTTCTTAATACTGTGTATTGACTCAATTAGCATCAATGACAAGATGCATGCTTTTGCAATAATTGTCTATGAGGCTACTAATTCTTGCAGGTGGTATTGCTGCCCATTCGTCTTGGCAAAATGCCTCCACTTTATGCATAGTCTTGGTCGTCGTGCACAAACCGCACGCTTGAGATCTCCCCAGAGTGGCTTGATGATATTGAGGTTAGGAGATTGTGGTGGTCACTCCAGAACCTTCACATTTTTCTGCTTTAATCACTGGAAGGTCAACTTGGCCTTGTGCTTTGGGTCAGGGCCGCCATCAGAAATTGTGGGGCCCCTAACACAGCTCAAGGTCTGGGCCTCTGTGTGCCCGCCTCCAAATCCCGCCCACAGGAATACACACACACACAGACACAAAAGGACACAGACACACACACAGAAAGATACACACATACTAACAGACACAAATACTGAAACAGACATACATATAGATACATACACAGATACACACACACACACACACTGACATACAGACACACACACTGTTGTACATACATACTCACATACTGACACACACATACATACTGACAAACAGACATACATACAAACTGACATACATACAGACATACATACACATAAATACATACTGACATACATATATAATGGCATACATACACATACATACTGATATACAGACATACATACACACACAGACATACATGCATACTGGCATACATACTGATAGAGTGACATACACAGACATACATGCATACTGACATACATACATACTTGCAGACATACATACATACTGACAAACAGACATACATACTGACATACACAAACACATACAGATAGACACATACACACATACATACATACATACATACATACACACACACAGACATACATGCATACTGACATACATACACACAGACATACACACAGACATACATACACACAGACACACACACACACACAGACATACATACTGACATACACACACACAGACATACATACTGACATACACACACACACACAGACATACTGACATACACACAGACATACATACTGACATACACACACACAGACATACATACTGACATTCACACAGACATACATACTGACATACACACACAGACATACTGGCATACACACATACATTCTAACATACACACAGACATACACACAGACATGCATACTGACATACACACACACAGACATACTGACATACACACAGACATGCACACACACAGACATACATACTGACATACACACAGACATACTGACATACACACAGACATACATACTGACATACACACACACACACACACACAGACATACTGACATACACACAGACATACAAACTGACATACGCACACAGACATACTGACATACACACAGACATACACACAGACATACATACTGACATACATACAGACATACACACACACACACAGACATACATACTGACATACACACACAGACACAGATATACTGACATACTCACAGACATAGATACTGACATACACACACACACACACACACACAGACATACATACTGACATAAACACACACACCTCATTTATCAGCCACCCTACTCTTACCTTTAAATTGCAGGAGGATGGCTGGGGATGATGGGAGTGGATGCCTCTGGTGTCCCTGTCCTGTCCTCTCCTCCGCTCTCCCTCTCCCCCCGCGCAGAGTAAGCTGGGAGGAAGTGACCTGTCGTCACTTCTTCCCAGCAGCACTTGCAGTGTTTAGCCGCAATTTTTTTTTTTAAAGGGGCCCAGTCGCTCAATTACCCGGCGCAGCACTGACTGGGCCCCTGAAGATATAGGGCCCATCGGGTGACCCTAAATGCTTGGGCCACCTGTTGGGCCCCGGTGCAGATGCACCTGCGGCAGTTTCTCCGCTCCACGTGGGGCCCGGGTGGCCGGGCCCCCCAGGGCTGCCGGGCCCGTGACAACCATCATTGTCACCCCCTGATGGTGGCCCTGCTTTGGGTCATTGTAATGCTATAAATTCCAAGAGTGACCCATGCGCAGCCTTCGTGCAGAAGAATGCAAATTATCTACCAGTATTTTCTGATAACATGCTGCATTCATCTTGCTATCAATTTTCAAAAGTTATCCAGTGCCTTTAGAGCACACATCCCCCAAAACATCAGTGAGCCACCACCATGCTTCACAGTAGGGATGGTATTCTTTTCACTATAGGCTTTGTTGACCCATCTCCAAACACAGCACTTATGGCTGAGACCATAAAGCTCTATTTTGGTCTTGGCACTCCAAATTACAGTGTTCCAGAAGCTGTTAGGCATGTCAAGATGTTGTTGGGCATATTGTAACCAGGCCTTTATGTGACATTGGCGCAGCAAAGGCTTCTTACTGGCAATTCGACCATGCAGCTCATTTTTGTTCAAGTATTGTCCTCTTTTAAACAATCACACTGTCTGTTTCCAGAGAAGCCTGTATTTCTCCTTAGGTTACCTGTGGGTATCTCAAATGATTATTCTGGCATTTGTGGTGAGATATTTTTTGGTCTACCCAACCTTGATTTGGTATCTAGAGATCCCTGAATTTTCCACTTCTTAATAAGTGATTGAACAGTACTGACTGTCATTTTCAAGGCTTTGGATATCTTTTTATATCCTTTTCCATGTTTATAAAGTTAAATGACCTTGTTACGCAAGTCTTTTGACAGTTCTCTTTTACGTCCCATGGCTCAGTATCTAGCCTGCTCAGTGCATCCACGTGAGAGCTAACAAACTCATTGACTATTTATACACAGGAACTAATTGCAATTTAAAATACCATAGGTGTGGGAAATTTACTTTTAATTGCCATTTTCACCTCTGTGTGTCACCTTGTGTGTCTGTAACAAGGCCACACATTCAAGGGTATGCAAACTTTTGACAGGGCCATTTGGGTAATTTATGTTATCATTATGATTTAATAAGGAGCCAAACAACTATGTGATAATAAATAGCTTCAGATGATTACTATCCTTCAATAGAATGCATTTTTGTTTTTGCATTTCATATTTTAAAAATCAATGCCAAAATGTCATAATATCTACCAGGATATGCAAACTTTTGAGCACAAGTATATATTTATAAATAAAAATTGTAAAAAACCTTACTTATAGGTACAGTTGTGATCAAAATTATTCAATACCCATTAAAAATCAGGTTTATTTTCAAAATGTACAGACTTTCAGCTGTTTGCAATAGATAAATCAAACAAACGCAATTTAAATAGCTCAACACAATGAATGATTCAAGTGGTTTCCCCAAATTCAACTGAAAATGCAACTTATAAGGACTTCCTCAGTTTCAAAATTATTCAACCACCTGAATAGAATCCCTCACAACAGCACACATGTGCAAAACAGGTATTGTCTCAAACATGCCTGATGCAACTAATCAAATACTTCATTAGTTGCACCAGGTGTTCTTGAACTGGATCACTTGAAATACCCTGGCTAGGGGCTTGTTGAGTGTCACATTTCACTGCATTTTAGAAATATGGCTAAGTCAAAAGAATTGTCCACAAAGTTAAGAGAAGAGATAATCACCATTCACAAACAAGGAACAGGATACAAAAAGATAGTGAAGACACTGAATGTTCCTAGAGACACTGTTGGAAACATAGTATGCAAGTTCAAAGTTGAAGGAAGAGTGGTTCCACTAGCTGCACGAGCCACAAAAAGGAAGCTATCAATGGCTGCAACCAGATTTCTGAGAAGGGCATGTTGTGAAAAACCATTGAGTGAGTGCAAAAGACCTGCAGCAAGACTTGGTGGCAACAGGCACTGAGCTTTCAGTGAGCACAGTAAGGCACATACTAAATGCAGAACGTTTCCATGCCAGAATTCCAAGATATACACCACTACTGACCCAAAAGCACTAGAAAACTCAGCCACAGAAGATTTGGGATTCTGTTTTGTGGAGCGATGAAACAAAACTGGAACTTCCTGCCTAATGAATCAACGGTTAATCTGGAGGAAGAGTCATTGGACCTTCCAACCAGACAATGATCCCTATCATACCTCAAATTCCACCAATACTTGGTTACAGAAGAATTTCTGGAAAATTTTACAGTGGCCTTTACAGTCACCTGACTTGAATCCCATAGAAAATCTCTGGTGGTATTTGATGAAGGCGATTGCAGGACACAGACCCAAGAATATTACTGAACTGGAGGCCATTGCTCATGAGCTGTCAGCAGCTGGTGTCTGGGTATGCGTCACATTTGCAGCAGGTCATAACAGCAAACAGGTGCTCTACTAAGTACTAAAGATGCTTGCCATGAAATAATAAGTTGGAGACCGGAGAAGTCATTATAAGTTGCATTTTCAGTTGAATTTGGTGAATCCACTTGAAACATTCTAAATGTGGAGTTATTTCAGTGGCGTTTGTTTGATTTGTTCATTGCAAACACCGGAAAGTCTGTACATTTTGACAATAAACCTGATTTTCAGGTTTGAATAAATTTGATCACGACTGTATAAACTTAAGAAGTGACATTTCACCTTTACTTCCTAAAGCACTTCCGCCCTTAAAGAGTTTTGAGTGTTCTTTTTATCTTGCACATCATTATACCTCTAACCCCTTTCTTCCTTGCAGATGAATGACGTTTATAAAGACCTCCCTGGTTATAAGGATGTAGTTATCAATGATCTAAGGTAGGTTTGTCTGATCATATTGAAAATGTATAAACTGTACTGTTCATCACAGGAAGTTATAACCTGCATGAATATTTAGTTTCTATTCAAGATAAAACATGATTCTATTTGTATGCAGTTTTCTAAATGGCAAGCACCGTGTATAAACTGACATTCCACCACTTTCAATATACAAAGATTACTATATACTAATGATGATTACTAATAATTGTCCACAGTCATATGATTCTTTAAACAATTAATGAGAGGCCCGGATGGATACTGCTGCAAAGATTTTAGGATGGGGGGGCAGGCATATCATGGGATGGACTATCTGATCATGATGATAAAAGCACAAAAGGGTGGTTTCCTTTTATCTTAAACTTTTAGAAGTCTGACTTGACTAGGTTTATACAGAATTGTAACATTGCCCTTTTTGACATTGACTTCTCCCTCTGAGTGCCTAGTCATCTGTAAATTGTTATATAGGAAGATTAGGATCAAGTGCATTATCTGGATAACAAGGAGGTCTGCTACTGAAACTACATTGAAGGTTTGGTGTAAAAGGTGTTTTGTTCTAAAAAGTGGATTCCAGTAGAACCATCGTGGGCACCTACATATGGAACTCTTCCCCTTTTCTATATTTGTACAACTTTTAGGAATATACACTTTTTACTCATTACCCCCACAGTGCAGGGTTAAGCTTTTGTTTGAGAGTAATCCACATCTTTAGAAGCTCTTTGCATTAGAATTGGAGGCAGTGAGCATCAACTAATGTACTCCAGGTAAGACGTCAAGGCACTCAAGGAGGTAGCACCAGACCACTCCTGGCACAGCTACAGCATGCTGTATTAGTTAAGATGCTTGGAGTATAATTACTACCCTATCGACTAGGTAGTAGAAGTCTATATTGGGTAAATCCTTGCAACGTTAGTCATTCTTACTAAATATGTGTTTTAACTTCACTGTGGTTCTCTTACAGAAATGGCAGTGTCATTGTGGATCATGATGTGCTTGTGGAAGTAGAATATCAGCTAAATCGGAATGTATCTGAATACTTTGAAACTATAGTAAAAAATGTAACTGAAAAGCTTGAAGATCTCGAGGGAAATTGCAGTGCAAGTAAGTTTTTGGTGAAAATCTCAAAGGGACACCAGACTGGAGTTGACCCTTGACCGCTTATCCCAGGACACACCCATACCCATTGCACCAATAAAACATGGATACATCATTATGTAAATAAGGGCAACGGCTTTATTTAAACTTAAAGGAACACTATAGTTTTAGGAATACAAACATGTATTCTTGACACTGTAGTTCTAATAATGCCATTTAGGTCGCAGGCCCCCCTTTTCTCTGTTAAAAAGGTGTCTTACTCACCTTTTTTACAGTCCAGTTTCCTCTCTGTAGTGTGCCTCATCCCCACTCTGCCTCCTTGGCTGAGATAATTAGATTTAATAATCTCAGCCAATCCAAGGCTTTCCCATAGGAACGCATTTGGGAGGCTATTGCGGTAAAATGCTGCATTGTGCCAATCAGCATCTCCTCATAGTACATGTAGCTGCCGAACGTCAGTGCAGTACTGACCCAGGAAGCACCTCTAGTGGCTATCTTAGTTACTGCCACTAAAGGTTATTAAGCACCAATGTCAATACTTTTCTCTGAAAAAGCAGTGTTTACGTTAAAAAGCCTGCAAGCAGTAGACACCAGGAAACAACTACATTAAGCTGTATCTGTTCTGGTGACAATAGTGTCCCTTTTTACATCAATGCCAGCATATACATTTACGAGCTACCTTCCAGTTGTTGGGATGTTTACCCAGCAGCCAGTTCTCCCATGATGATTTGTTTCCATGAGTCCAATGTAGTCTGCCTACTCCCTCGGCAGAATAAAACTCCCAAACGATTGGCATATCAGATATCCTTTTACTGCATATTAACTACATATCAGATATCCTTTTTACAAGGAATACCACGTGCCTTGACAAAACATAAAAACAAAACAAAAACACATACAATACACAAATCCCCCCAAAAATAATGGGTGGGAGGGAAAGGAAGTCAGGTTATTTCAAGCCTTCTCCTAACTGACGGATGAGTATCCACCCCGTCTCACTTCCTAGTCCCCATCTTCCAACAATGTATGCCTTTTTGTCCAGCCCCAGATTCGTGTGCAGTGGTCATGTTTCCCCATCCGTAGCTATCCACAGATATTCTTTCTATAGCTTAGTTTACCAAATTATTTTGATAATGTGTTAATAAAATATACAGAAAATATATTTTTTAAAAAGGAAAAAGAATTACTTACAACTGAAGTCACTATATATTTTTTGTGCACGTTCAGCTGAATAAGTCATGCGTGCCAGGGGTGTAACTAGCTCCTGACACAAAAGTGCAAAAATATCTGTGAATGTGCAGTGTTTCAAGAAGGAATATCACACATAGACCATTCTACCACTAACAAAACCTTGTGCCAAATATCCCTGCACAATTAATTGACATTGCAGGGATTTTTGACAGCACTGGTTCAGTTGTCAACTTTATACTGGAGCAATACAATGTATTATTTAAAGAAAAAAATAAAGCTAAATTAAAGTAAACCTTCTCTTCATTACTGGCTGTAACCTAACCTTAAATACATCCAACATGGTGGTGACTCTTTAAATAAAATGTGTCACTGGTTGTTTAATATATGGGTCTCAATTTTTTTACATTAATTGAAAGGTGAAATAAAGGTATTCTTATGTGTGTTGGCACTACTTCTTGAGGCAAGGGAGCTGCTGTAGAATATTGGCCATGATTTATTTTTTTGGATACCTTTTGCAAATGATCCCAGTCTGTTAGAACAAAAAGATTTATCTATAGAAGGCATCAATGTCTATAGGAATTGTTGTAGATAATCTGTTGGAAAGATGTTTGTAACATATTGAGGTTATATGAAAAATCTATCCAAAAATATTACATTGAGGCCACAGTCTGAAACTAGTGTAACAGCAGATCACCTATAAAGCACTGATATCGCCTGGGTCAGCCCTGACTGCCTACCAGAACAGAACTGAGAGATGCAGGCCTCTTTAGCTAGTGTCATAGGTGTGCCACATTTAATAATACTCTGTTAGATGCTAGTCTAAGAACCATTCTAGGTAGTTATTTATTCAGGGGTAGAAATGCAGTGCTGTTTGATCACAACTTGTTTCCTCTTTTGGTTACAGCATTTTGTGTTGAAATAAACAATGTCTCTGGAGTACCTCCACCAAGTGAAACAGGTATGTAATTGCTAGCTCTGCTGTCTAGCTATTTATTTTAGAGCTATGTTATCAGTAGTATACAAGAATTTCTGAATGTGTGCACTGTCTTCTTCAGAACTCTGCAATGTGAAGTTTGGTCCAGGTTTTAAGGAATTCTATGAACCATCAATTGTTAGTGGTAAAGTGACTTGTGTGTCCGTCTGTGATCCACTTGCAAAGTCCTATTACAACTGTACCCTGGGCAGCTGCCTATTGCGGAACAATACAGGACCACATTGCCTGTAAGTATGTTTTGTCTCTTTGTTTTTTTTTTTATTGTGGCAGTTAGTTTCCTAATGAAAAGGCAAATCTATGATGTATCATAGAAACATAGAAACATAGAAACATAGAATGTGACGGCAGATAAGAACCATTCGGCCCATCTAGTCTGCCCAATTTTCTAAATACTTTCATTAGTCCCTAGCCTTATCTTATAGTTAGGATAGCCTTATGCCTATCCTACGCATGCTTAAACTCCTTTACTGTGTTAACCTCTACCACTTCAGCTGGAAGGCTATTCCATGCATCCACTACCCTCTCAGTAAAGTAATACTTCCTGATATTATTTTTAAACCTTTGTTCCTCTAATTTAAGACTATGTCCTCTTGTTGTGGTAGTTTTTCTTCTTTTAAAGGGGTTGTTGTTTTTCATATAGCAGTTCTGCTAAAGTCACAGTCAAGGCACCCTACTGGAGATGTTTAATAATGTGGTTAGCTAAGGCTAGCTGCGGTGATTCCTAAATAAACTGGTCATTACATCTGTGCCTGTTATTATGTGTTTAGTAACCATGATTTATTGTAACTTATGTATTATTATTTTTTACAGCTGTCCAGACACAGACAAATACCTGTACACAGGATCAATGTGCCAGGGAAGGATAATAAAATTAGGATTATATGGTGGAGTTGGAGCAGCCATTGCTGTCCTGGTGATAATTATTTTCACAGTTGTGTTCCTCATGTTAAGAATAATAAAAAGCAAGAAAGAGTGAGTAGTTTATTTTTCTTATCTGTTCTGTTCATTGTATAGCATATTGTGTGACTGTGAAAGCTGCTTATTGCATGATCGATCATTGTCTATGTTATGTCACAAGATATGTGCATAGTGCATGTTATATGACAATGAATTTGTAGTGTAATGTGTGTGTAGAGGTCTGTTAGTTGAGAATTGTGCATGTGTGGGGGCTGTAGTGTATGTTGGTAAGAGGATTAGGGCCTGTAGTGTGTGGGAGGGTTACAGGCTGTAGTGTGTATGGGAGCATACGGGATATGTGGGTGTATTAGGGGCTAGAGTGCAAGCATTAGGGACTATACTATTTGGGGCTATAGCTGCAGTAGTTTGGGGGTGAATATGGGTTGCTTTGGAGCAGGTGTAAAAATATAATTTTTAATTTCAAAAACAAAAAAAAGGCTTAACCCTCCTCCCTCTGGCTTACCTTGGGCCAGTAAGTTTGGAATGCTGTAGCGTAGTGGTCCAGTAAGCAATGCATCTGTGGCAAGTGCAGAGTGCTACTTGCAGCTGGTATTAGGAAAGTATCAGATTGTTTCCATGGTAACCTGTGGCAACACTCTGATTCACTAGCTAGATTAGAGAACATTGTCTGCACACACTGGGGGTGCAGGCTGCAAGCTCCCTGGTTCCCCTAGCATTGTTGTAGGTCTTTATACGGCATTTGCTCAATGTCCATTTTGTATACTATATCAGTTTATCAATGCGTATTAGTGTGACAGTGCTTTTTTATATTTTATAACTTTGCTTTGTGGGTAATGTTTTACACAATATACTGTCATATACATATAATGTAGGCTGTGCTGAAATGCATTGGATACATTGTGTAACTGTTCTCCGTGTATTAGTGCATTGTGTTGCATTGTGCAATGGCTCATTGTATTCTTTGTGAATGTTTTATTATTGTATTCATTGTGTAATTAGAGTCAGATCTTTTCCTATTTTATGGGAATGTGCTATATATTTTCATAGCAAATTTTGTATTTTGTTCTGTGTGTGCTTACTGTGTGATGTTTACATTGTAATCTTAGCATATATGTTATGTCTTGTTTCATCTGCAGTCCTGAGTTTCAGCGCAAACGTTATGATGTGTGTTCCCTTTTATTTTGTTGGTGTGATATTGTGACGGAATGAGTGATAGCTTTAATTAAATGTCTGCCTTTCTGTTCATGCATGTCACGTGTTGTCACATAAATGAGTTTGGTTTAGGGAATACTTTTTAAAGTAAAATCTTGTGCTTTGTGACATCAGGAAAAATTTATTCACAAATGGAGAAAGTTCATGGTACGAAGAATACAATGACAATGAATGGAGCATAGAACGAGGCTTCACCAACTTGAATGCAGTAATGGAGGAAGCTGGTGGAGGTAGGTTAACAAATCAGCACGATTTATCTAAAAACAATTGAGGTTGTACCACAATCCAATGACTGTATTAAATAGATAAATATTTGTGAATTTCACCAGATATTGTGTGTTTTTCCAAATATTTCACATTATGCTGCCAGTAATGCAGTTAAAGTTAGGATTTTTTTGTCATATAAAACCAGGCTTACATTTAGACATCCTAATCATGCAACCTAGAGATTGACACTCTGAGATTGAAAAGGTGATGGCCATCAAAATGTATTCAACTCAAAATGATCTTATCATCCCTTTTGAGTCCTTTCTGTCATTAACCCATGTTGTGCCAAATTAGTATTGATGTATTTTTCTTTAAGTGTATTCAAAGAATACATTTTGGGAAAGGCTACATGGGTGTATGGTGTGATTATAATTTTCAACAATCCACAGGTGATACTCGAAAAATTAGAATATTGTGCACAAGTTCATTTATTTCAGTAATGCAACGTAAAAGGGGAAACTAATATATGAGATAGATGCATTACATGCAAAGCAAGATAGTTCAATCCGTGAATTGTCATAAGTGCGATGATTATGGCTTACAGCTCATGAAAACCCCAAATCCACAATCTTAGTAAATTAGAATATTACATGCAATCAATAAAACAAGGAGTCTACATAGAACAATATCGGGCCTCTGATATGCATATGGACTCAGTACTTGGTTTGGACCCCTTTTGCAGCAACTACTGCCTCAATGCGGCATGGCATGGAAGCTATCAGCCTGTGGCACTGCTGAGGTGTTATGGAAGACCAGGATGCTTCAATAGCGGCCTTCAGCTCTTTTGCATTGTTCAGTCACATGTCTCTCATCTTTCTCTTGGCAATGCCACATAGATTCTCTATGGGGTTCAGGTCAGGAGAGTTTGCTGGCCATCAAGCACAGTAATCCCACGGTCATTGAACCAGGCTTTGGTGCTTTTGGCAGTGTGGGCAGGTGCCAAGTCCTGCTGGAAAATGAAGTCAGCATCCCCATAAAGCTCGTCTGTGGAAGGAAGTATGAAGTGCTCCAAAATCTCCTGGTAGACGGCTGTGTTGACCCTGGACTTAATGAAGCACAGTGGACCAACACCAGCAGATGACATGGCTCCCCAAATCAACACAGTCTGTGGAAACTTCACACTGGACTTCAAGCATCTTGTGCCTCTCCATTCTTCCTCCAGACTCTGGGTCCTTGGATTCCAAATGAGATGCAAAAGTTGCTCTCATCAGAAAAGAGGACTTTGGACCACTGAGCAACAGACCAGGTCTGTTTTTCTTTAGCCCAGGTAAGACGCTTCTGATGTTGTTTGTTGTTCAGGAGTGGCTTGACAAGAGGAATACGACATCTGAAGCCCATGTCCAGGATCCGTCTGTGTGTGGCTCTTGATGCACTGACTCCAGCCTCAATCCACTCCTTGTGAAAGTCCCCAACACTTTTGAATGGCCTTTTCCTGCCAATCCTCTCAAGGCTGAGGTCATCTCTGCTGCTTGTGCACCTTTTTCTTCCACACTTTTACCTTCCACATAACTTTCTATTAAAATGCTTTGATACAGCACTTTGGGAACATCCAACTTCCTTCGCAATTACCTTTTGAGGCTTTCCCTAGTTATGTAGAGTGTCAATGATGGTTTTCTGCACCACTGTCAGGTCAGCAGTCTTCCCCATGATTGTGATTCCTACTGAACCAGACTGAGAGACCATTTAACCCCTTAGCGACCGAGGACGGTTCAGGACCGTCATCGGCATTTTTGCCTTGAGGACCGATGACGGTCCTGAACCGTCCTAACGGTCTGGGGGTACTTACCTGATCGCCGTCGTTCCCCCGGCGGCGATCAGTGTGGCTCCGGTTGTGGGGAGACTGCCTGCAGCCCAGACAGTCTCCCCACACTGATTTAGGACCCCTGTGGCCATGTGATCGCTTAACACAGCGATCACATGGTCACAATAGGTGTCCATGTGTCTGCCTGCAGGGGGACTGTCTGTGCTGACAGGCAGTCTCCCTGCTAGTGTAAAATCAAAAAAAAAAATAAAGTTAGTGTTAATAAAAAAAATTTAAAAAATTATATATGTGTATAAATATGATATATAGACATATATTATATCTATATAATATATGTCTATCTATCATATATATAATGTCATACTAAGTGTATTTTTATATTAATATGTACTTATATTAATATAAAAATACACTTATAATTAAATTACGCACGTATATATATAATATATATAATAACTATATATATTGTATATATATATTATTATAAAATATAAATAATAAGTAATTTAAATTAAATAAAAAAATTTTAAAATAATAATAAAAAAATAAAAAAAATTATATATCTATATGAAATTTTATTCTAACTGTATTTTAAAATTAATATATATATATTTATATCAAAATACACTTAGAATGAATTTGTATATATATCTATGTATATAAAAATAAATAAAAATAATAAGAAATATACATATGTCCATATACAAAATTACATAAATAATTATATAAATATACACGTAGACTTCAAATATATAAATATGCATATATATTTAAATTCTACGTGCGTATTTATGTAATATTTTTACATAATTCAGTAATTTTATTGATTGCAATTTGAGGGACCTGCCTGCCAACCCAGGCCGAAATTCCAGAGAATTGAATTTGCTAGCACTGTATTTTACCCTGTAACGTTCTACGACACCCTAAAACCTGTACATGGGGGGTACTGTTTTACTCGGGAGACTTCGCTGAACACAAATATTAGTGATTCAAAACAGTAAAACATATCACAGCGATGATATTGTCAGTGAAAGTGACTTTTTTTGCATTTTTCACACACAAACAGCACTTTTACTGATGATATAATTGTTGTGATACGTTTTCCAGTTTTTAAACACTAATATTTGTGTTCAGCGATGTCTCCTGAGTAAAACAGTACCCCCCATGTACAGGTTTTATAGCATTTTTGAAAGTTACAAGGTCAAATATATGGGTCAAATATTTTTACATTGAAAATGGCCAGGTTGGTTACGTTGCCTTTGAGAGCGTATGGTAGCCCAGGAATGAGAATTACCCCCATGATGGCATACCATTTGCAAAAGAAGACAACCCAAGGTATTGCAAATGGGGTATGTCCAGTCTTTTTTAGTAACCACTTGGTCACAAACACTGGCCAAAATTAGCGTTCAATTTAGTTTTTTTACTTTTTTCACACACAAACAAATATGAATGCTTACTTTGGCCAGTGTTTTCGACTAAGTGGCTACTAAAAAAGACTGGACATACCCCATATTGAATACCTGGGTTGTCTACTTTAAAAAAAAATATGTACATGTGGGGTGTTATTCAGAGATTTATGACAGATAATAGTATTACAATGTCACTATAGATAAATTTAAAAAATTTATGTTTTGAAACCGCAATATTCTACTTGTACCTATAGCCCTATAACATGCAAAAAAAAGCAAAAAAGCATGTAAACACGGGGTATTTTTAAACTCAGGACAAAATTTTGAATCTATTTAGCAGTTTTTTTAATTCGCTTTTGTAGATGAGTAAAAGATTTTTCAAGTAAAAGTCAAAAAACATGTATTTTTTTCAATTTTTCATCATATTTTTTTATTTTTTTAAAATTAAAATACATGAGATTATATAAATAATGGTATGTAAAGAAAGCCCCTTTTGTCCTGAAAAAAACAATATATAATTTGTATGGGAACAGTAAATGAGAGAGCGGAAAATTCCAGCCAAACACAAACACCACAAAAGTGTAAAAATATGCCTGGTCGCAAATGTACAACATCGCAAAAAAGGTCCAGTCCTTAAGGGGTTAAGGGGTTAAAATATTGGACTGGTTTGATTGTGAATGAACCATCACAATTAATGGTTTACATGCAGAAATTACCATGTCATTAATTATTTAATTATAGACTGTGATCAACCCCAAATTGAGAGATAATACACCTATAGGACTGTGCCACAAAAAAAGTGTATAGCGCTTATCTCTGTGCTACTAAAACTTTAGCAATGTGAGATAAACATTCATAGGTCCTGCTCTCTGTGTCACCCTGCAGGAGGAGGGACAGACTCAACGCTCCTTCTGTCTGTGTCACCCTGCAGGGGGAGGGACAGTCTAATAGCTCCATCTGTCTGTGTCACTGTGTCACCCTGCAGGGGGATGAACATACTCATAGCTCCTTCTGTCTGTGTCACCCTACAGGGGGAGGGACAGACTCATAGCTCCTTCTGTCTGTGTCACTGTGTCACCCTGCAGGGTAGGGACAGACTCATAGCTCCTTCTGTCTGTGTCACCATGTCACCCTGCAGGGGGATGAACATACTCATAGCTCCTTCTGTCTGTGTCACCCTACAGGGGGAGGGACAGACTCATAGCTCCTTCTGTCTGTGTCACTGTGTCACCCTGCAGGGTAGGGACAGACTCATAGCTCCTTCTGTCTGTGTCACCATGTCACCCTGCAGGGGGATGAACATACTCATAGCTCCTTCTGTCTGTGTCACCCTACAGGGGGAGGGACAGACTCATAGCTCCTTCTGTCTGTGTCACTGTGTCTCCCTACAGAGGGAGGGACAGACTCATAGCTCCTTCTGTCTGTATCACTGTGTCACCCTGCAGGGGGAGGGACAGACTCATAGCGCCTTCTGTATGTGTCTCCCTACAGGGGGAGGGACAGACTCATAGCTCCTTCTGTCTGTGCCACTGTGTCTCCCTACAGGGGGAGGGACAGACTCATAGCTCCTTCTGTCTGTATCACTGTGTCACCCTGCAGGGGGAGGGACAGACTCATAGCTCCTTCTGTCTGTAATACTGTGTCACCCTGCAGGGGGAGGGACAGACTCATAGCTCCTTCTGTCTGTGTCACCGTGTCACCCTGCAGGGGGAGGGACAGACTCATAGCTCCTTCTGTCTGTGTCACTGTGTCACCCTGCAGGGGGAGGGACAGACTCATAGCTCCTTCTGTGTCACGCTGCAGGGGGAGGGACAGACTCATAGCTCCTTCTGTCTGTGTCACTGTGTCACCCTGCAGGGGGAGGGACAGACTCATAGCTCCTTCTGTCTGTGTCACTGTGTCACCATGCAGGGGGAGGGACAGACTCATAGCTCCTTCTGTCTGTGTCACAGTGTCACCCTGCAGGGGGAGGGACAGACTCATAGCTCCTTCTGTCTGTGTCACTATGTCACCCTGCAGGGGGAGGGACAGACTCATAGCTCCTTCTGTCTGCGTCACTGTGTCACCCTGCAGGGGGAGGGACAGACTAATAGCTCCTTCTGTCTGTGTCACTGTGTCACCCTGCAGGGGGAAGGACAGACTCATAGCTCCTTCTGTCTGTGTCACCGTGTCACCCTGCAGGGGAGGGACAGACTCATAGCTCCTTCTGTCTGTGTCACCCTGCAGGGGGAGGGACAGACTCATAGCTCCTTCTGTCTGTGTCACTGTGTCACCCTGCACGGGGAGGGACAGACTCATAGCTCCTTCTGTCTGTGTCACCGTGTCACCCTGCAGGGGGAGGGACACACTCATAGCTCCTTCTGTCTGTCTGTGTCACTGTATCACCCCTGCAGGTGGAGGGACAGACTCATAGCTCCCCTTCTGTCTGTGTCACTGTATCACCCCTGCAGGGGGAGGGACAGACACATAGCTCCCTTCTGTCTGTGTCACCGTCACCTGTGCAGGGGAGGGACAGACTCATAGCTCCTTCCCCTGTCTGTGTCACCGTGTCACCTCTGCAGGGGGAAAGTGGACAGGACTCATAGCCCCTGTCTGTGTCACTGTGTCACTCCCTCTGCAGGGGAGGGACAGACCCTGCTAGCTCCTTCTGTCTGTGCTCACTGTGTCACCCCTGCAGGGGAGGGACAGGACTCATAAATTCTTCCCCTGTCTGTGTCACTGTGTCACCCTGCAGGAAGGCACAGACTCTTAGCTCCTTCTGTCTGTCTCACTGTGTCACCCTGCAGGGGAGGGACAGACTCATAGCTCCTTCTGTCTGTGTCACTGTGTCACCCTGCAGGGGAGGGACAGACTCATAGCTCCTTCTGTCTGTGTCACTGTGTCACCCTGCAGGGGGAGGGACAGACTCATAGCTCCTTCTGTCTGTGTCACCGTGTCACCCTGCAGGTGGAGGGACAGACTCATAGCTCCTTCTGTCTGTGTCACTGTGTCACCCTGCAGGGGGAGGGACAGACTCATAGCTCCTTCTGTCTGTGTCACCGTGTCACCCTGCAGGGGGAGGGACAGGCTCATAGCTCCTTCTGTCTGTGTCACCCTGCAGGGGGAGGGACAGACTCATAGCTCCTTCTGTCTGTGTCACCCTGCAGGGGGAGGGACAGACTCATAGCTCCTTCTGTCTGTGTCACTGTGTCACCCTGCAGGGGGAGGGACAGACTCATAGCTCCTTCTGTCTGTGTCACTGTGTCACCCTGCAGGGGGAGGGACAGACTCATAGCTCCTTCTGTCTGTGTCACCGTGTCACCCTGCAGGGTGAGGGACAGACTCATAGCTCCTTCTGTCTGTGTCACCGTATCACCCTGCAGGGGGAGGGACAGACTCATAGCTCCTTCTGTCTGTGTCACCGTGTCACCCTGCAGTGGGAGGGACAGACTCATAGCTCCTTCTGTCTGTGTCACTGTATCACCCTGCAGGGGGAGGGACAGACTCATAGCTCAATCTGTCTGTGTCACTGTGTCACCGTGCAGGGGGTGGCCGACATAGCTCCTTCTGTCTGTGTCACTGTGTCACCCTGCAGGGGGAGGGACAGACTCATAGCTCCTTCTGTCTGTGTCACTTTATCACCCTGCAGGGGGAGGGACAGACTCATAGCTCCTTCTGTCTGTGTCACTGTATCACCCTGCAGGGGGATGGACAGACTCATAGCTCAATCTGTCTGTCACTGTGTCACCCTGCAGGGAGAGGGGCAGATTCATAGCTCCCTCTGTCTGTGTCATTGTGTCACCCTGCAGGGGGAGGGTACAGACTCATAGCTCCTTCAGTCTGTGTCACTCTGTCACCCTGCAGGGGGAGGGACAGACTCATAGCTCCTTCTGTCTGTGTCACTGTATCACCCTGCAGGGGGATGGACAGACTCATAGCTCTTTCTGTCTGTGTCACTGTCACCCTGCAGTGAGAAAGTCAGACACACAGATAATTCTACATGTGTCACTGTGTCACTCTCTCCGTAGGGAGTGACAGATTTATAGTTCATTATATTTGTATAATTGTTTCAGCCTGTGTGTCCGTGTGTCTGTTTGAGTGTGTGGGGTGGAGAGGGGTTGGGGCAAACTCAAAACATGCTTCACTATGTCTCATTAATTGTCACTCTTTCTCTACAGATATGTCAAGTCAAGGTTCATATTCTTCAAAAGAAAGATTTAAACCAGCACTGGAAAATGTAGATACATCCATTGAGGTATGCAGATATTAACTTCCTAAATACCTCTTGTATGTGTCTGTCTAATCATTGTCTTTCTTTTCCAGAGTTACTTTGTGTTAGCTCTCTCTTGCACTTTTCTTTTAATTTTTTACATTATTTCATACATTATTTTTATTTTATTCTATGGCAAATGCTTATAATAATTTTACATGATGACCTTGTTTAACGTGATTTTGTTGTATTGTTTGGGCGATAAGATTACCTCCCTTTTTGTAAACGAGCCATTTTTACCAATTTTAATCTCTCTTTATTGTGCAGGTGAAGATACAGAGACCGGAGATATCTCATGCGTAATATATTCCATTGAGCAGAGACATAACTCAAAGCTAGAGATCCGACAAGATTTGACTATTTTAATGAGGACCCTTTGAGGATTGAGCCAACTGCAATTACTAACCGTCATGAAAGAATCAGAAAACAGATATAATTGCAGAAAAAGAAACTTCTAAATGTTGCCACTGGAGGGCCCCCTACTATTGTTCATTTATATTCTAAAAGCACAGCTTTTGATGATCGCAATTTGAATGAAATATGTGCAGGTGTGGAGAACAAACAAGATCATTGCACACCTAAATCTGTTGGATATGCTAGTGAATTAGTGAATGGACTGTAGCATCAAAAACGATGAACAGCACATATGTGGACAAGTCAATTGTTTGACATGGGTCTAGGAATGAGTGTAGCACCCACGAACATCGTATAACACCCCTTAGAAAAAAAAAAAAAATTGGCAGTTAGCAAGCGTTCTCTTTTGGAAGCCCAGCCTTGCACTCCCATTTGTCCCAATGCACTAACCCATTTCCAAGTTATGTTTTTTACTCTTTACTAATTATGTAGATTTTAACCTGTCTATATAAATCCATTCTCTACATTTTTGCTCTGTATTCTGGGTGGCCAATCAAACTTCTCCTTTCTGAGTTGTGGTAACATGGATCAAACCTCTTTTTTTTTCTTTGTGTTACGGTCAATTTATTCCCATTTTTATTATTTAACAATTATATAATTTATTTGATTTAAATATATTTTTATATTAAATGATTTTTAAAAAAAATGTTGATTGTGAGATACTGTATAACTAAGTGTGAAAAAAAACTATTTTACTGCAGACACCCCTATGAGTTTTCCAAAATTAGACCAGTTTAATTTGAGCTATTTCTACTGGTATTTATTTTAAAATTTTCCTAATTTTGGTCTCAAATGAAGGCCTTTCACTGGCTAGGTTCTATCCACAAATATAGGAGAATAACTCAGTATATCAGACTTGTACCAAAAGGGAGAAAAGATAGTGGCTCAGTCTGCTAAAATAATGCAAACTACAAGAAAACGATTTTTTAATATTTTTATATTTCCATTCTGCTGTAGGCCGAGCTCCCATAAATTCACAGACCCTGCAAAATATCCGAAAAAAAGAAAATATTTTAAGGGATGCTATGCCACGTGCAGAACTAACTTATTTGTGTATCTGAAAGGATGATACTTCTTCTTTTAAATGTTTTTCTCACCAATGCGAAAATACTAAAAGATTCTCGGCATGGGTATATTCCATGGGCATGTGTGGGTGCAAGTTGTGGTACAATGCAGTATATTTCCAATAACAGAAATATACAGTTTTCAATTTTAAAGCTAGTTTAGAAAAGAATATGAGACTTGACTGGTCAATCTTGAAGTTTTCTTTTTAATGTAAATTCCTTTCAACTCCGGAATGCAGGTTCCGAGTATCCTAGGAGAGATGGAGTATGAGGGTGCAGCCATATATTTTCACACTGGACACTTAATCATAGGCATGACAATAAGATGATGTTCAGTGTTCTTCAATAAACAGTGCGTTGTCAAAGAGAATTCAAAGTGAATTTAAATTGTGTCTATTTCTGATCAGTTTGGCTCAAAATTTGAACTTCACTTTGAATTTACTTTGAAATGCAAAATACGCCCAATTTAATGAATAATTCTGCCATGTTTATGCATTATATAACTCTATAGATAGATAGTATACAATCTTAAGGATTCAAAATTAATCAACACATATCAAATTTAATCATTTATCAATATGATTATAAGCCAAAATCACTATGACACAATAATATGTATAATGAGATAAGGTAAGCACTGGGGGAATAAAATATTATATTTGATGTCCATCCTTGTATTGTGGTATTAGAAGATATTTTATATGATTAAAGATGACAAGTTTCAATGCACAAGTTTCATGGGAAACTCTTGCTTAAAGGGACACCCAGACCATTTCAGCTCATTGAAGTGGTCTGGGTGCATAGTCCCAGGTCCCTTAACCCTGCAAAGGTAATTATTGCAGTTTTTAATTAACTGCAATAATTACCTTTAAGGGTTAACTCCACCCAGTGGCGTACATACCGGGGTCGCAGGGGTCGCGGCTGAGACCGGGCCCGGCCCACCAGGGGGCCCGGCTGCCCTGCGGCCCGGTATTTACCCACTGGGCCAGCCTCTTCTCCTGGGGGGCCCAGAAGCCGGTCACCTCAGGGTGTCACCGGACTGGCTGGCTGGCGGGCGCGCGAGGGAGCACTCTCCCCTGATTACATCATCTTCCGACTTCTGCATCGGTACGCGGCTCAGGGGAGAGTGCTCCCTCCCGCGCCAGCCCGCCCAGTGACCGACCGCCCAGGAACCCAGCAGCACCACTGGACCCCAGGGAATCCCCTCAGCACTCCAAAAGGTAAGGAGGCTGGGGGATTAAATTTAAAAAAAAAACATGTGTGTGTGTAAGTGTGTGTGAGTGAGTGTTAGTGTGTGTGTGTGTGAGTGAGTGTTAGTGTGTGTGCTAGTGTGTGTGTGTGAGTGTTAGTGTGTGTGTGAGTGTTAGTGTGTGAGTGTGTGTGTTAGTGTTAGTGTGTGTGTGTTAGTGTGTGTGAGTGTTAGTGTATGTGTATATGTTAGTGTGCGTGTTAGAGTGTGTGTGTGTGTGTGTGTGTGTGTCAGTGAGTGTGTCTGTTATTGAGCGTGTGTCTGCTAGTGAGTGTCAGTGAGTGTGTTACTGTGTGTCTGTTACTGAGTGTGTTTGATGTCTGTTAGTGAGTGTGTGTTTGTCAGTGAGAGTGTATGTTTTGTAAGTGAGTGTGTATGTCTGTCTGTCGCCGAGTGTGTCTCTGTCAGTACATGTGTGTGTCTGTTAGCTAGTGTGTATGCGTCTGTTCGTGAGAGTGTGTGTCTTCAGCACTTACCTTTCTCCAGCGCTGGACTGCCTTGGCGCTGGGGATCCCTCTGCCTCTCAGCTCCGGATGCGCATGCGCGGCAAGAGTCGCGCACGCATTTAAACCGCCTATAGGAAAGCATTACTCAATGCTTTCCTATGGACGTTCAGTGTCTTAGAATCGTGAAAGCTCCTCTAGCGGCTGTCAATAAGACAGCTACTAGAGGCTGGATTAACCCTCAGTGAAACATATCAGTTTCTCTGAAACTGCTATGTTTTCACCTGCAGGGTTAAAACTAGAGGGACCTGGCACCCAGACCACTTCAATGAGCTGATGTGATCTGGGTGCCTGTAGTGGTCCTGTGTGCATCTGCATGCACTGGCGTACATACCGCGATCGCAGGGGTCGCAGCCCTGCAACCCCTGCGATCAGGTGCACGCCGCCATGTGTTGCGGCCCCCGTCCGCGCAGAGTAAGTGTGGGGGGGGGAGGAGGGAGGCCCACGGATCAATTTTCGCACCGGGGCCCCATGGGTCATGTGTACGCCACTGACTCCACCTCTAGGTGCTGTCTACCAGCCGGCCACTAAAGGGTCTTCTGGGTCGTTAGGTGACTATTGGTCACCTAACTGACACTGGACATCCTCATGAGGATGTCCAGCATCACCTGAAACCCCAGAGAGGGGGGTTTGTTTTTCTGGCACTATAGTTTCCCTTTAAGATAAAAACATTAACTTATAGCATTAATATACTATACACTGTTTTACTGCTATGATTTGAAGCAGACTAAACAGTGCCGTGATATTATATAGAAAAATAACATGCCAGTCAATATTAATCTTGAAATTACATGTACAGTTTGCTAAATGTCCATGCCCCTAAAGTAACTAAAATTGCAACAAAAATGATTTTCTCCCCAAAAACTCATGAGACATATATTCATCCCTTGGTTAAACGTATGTGAGCAAAGACTAATGTAGAGACAGGAATAATTATTCTGCTGGAAGGTTTGTACTCCATGGTACTGCATGGAGATACAAAGAAGGCTGTATGGATTATCAGAATGTTAATAGTGTGCCTCTTTGTCTAAGAAAGTGCATACATTTATTTTCTATTTATGAGAAAGGGTATTTTCAAAGAGTACAGTTTCATACAATTAATAGCTATGACTCACTGAGTAGATGTTTTCTGTATGATTTTGCAATAGCTGTAAAACATACTAGTTTAATTATTAGGTTAGAACAGTCACTTTGTAGTACCTTGCTGAGGTTGCTTGATTTGTAGAGCGAACCCTGCTTGTTGCTTTTAGAATCTGTTAAAAGATTAAAAAGGAAATGCCAATTTACAAACATTACAAGCATACGAAAGCACCTAACAAAACAATTGAAAAAGATAGGTCAGCTAGTGTTTGGATTATACACATACAACTATACAGGGCCGGCCTTAGGGGTGTGCAAGCTGTGTGGCCGCACAGGGCGTCATGGAGCAGGGGACGCCGAGCGGCCGCACAGCTCACACATGGCTAGCCGGCATTTAAAAAAAAAAATGTGGCGGGGAGGTGCTTCCCGTGCATGGGGGCGGAGCTAAAAACTGCTGCAGCAAAACAGTCTCCAGGACCTGCACTGACTGTGTGCCTCCACAATGAACAGAGGTAACTATGTGTGATTGTCTGTGTGAGTGTGACTGTGTGTGTGTATGACTGTCTGCCTGTGTGTGTGTGTGTGTATGACTGTCTGCCTGCCTGTGTGTGTCTGTGACTTTATGCCTGTGTGTGTATGACTGTCTGCCTGTGTGTGTTTATGACTGTCTACCTGTGTGTGTATATGACTGTCTGCCTGTGTGTATGTGTGTGTGTATGAGACTGTCTGCCTGTGTGTGCGTGTGTGTGTGTGTGTGTATGACTGTCTGTCTGTGTGTGTGCTAGTGTGTGTGTGACTGTGTGTGTGTTAGTGTGTGTGTGACTGTGTGTGTGTTAGTGTGTGTGTGACTGTGTGTGTGTACTTTATTTTCCTATGCAGAAATGTCTATTCATGTTTTCTGCCCTGGCGTTCAGTAGATTCTCGGATTTACTGAATGAACTCATATAACCCAGATAGCTATGCCATGGAGCCTATTCGTGTAATAAAAGACATTGGCTCCATGGCAATTGAACTGTATGTGTGTGTGGTCTGAGCGCCATTCAGTATTATTGTGCGCTCAGACCTAAGCTATCTGGGCATATGTTGCATGTCTGTATTTTATGTCATAAATGTAACCTAGTGTATTTTATTGTATGTTACTGTCTTTTTACTGCCATGTGCTTAATGGAGTTTTGCCTCTGTCCTTGGAGATAATTGGATTACTTCCCAATTATCTCCAGGATAGAAGACTCTGTGGAACTGGTTTTGGGCAGAAAAGCCATGCTTCCTTTGGTCACAAAGGACTATGATCTATCTTTTGAACCACTGGACCAATTTGTATGATTTTGACATATGTTTGTATTTGGAGTATGCTGATTCTGTTTTATGTGAATGTGATGCATACTTTTCAAGTTATGAATAATGTGGAAAAACTATTTCTCTGTTTGTGATAATTACATTACCCATTGTATAAGGTAATTGTATCACAGACAGAGGGGAGGATTTTGTGTGGGAGTGTCTGAGTGTATTGTATGTGTTTTTTGGTTGTTTTCCAAAACCCTGTGGGTGGTTCTAATGTGTAAGAATGTGTATACAAGAACAATAAACCCACAGCTCTGTCTGTTCCTGCTTGACCCTCAAAATGGAGCCTTGTCTCGTTCTTGGGAGGATGTATTGTATGCTGTTCCACTTTGACTGCTAGGAGTGTAAACCTATTTGTATGTTTTTTCCTATTCAGCTGTTTACAGCATTCATATGCTTGAGAGCATTCATATGCTTCTCCGGTTCAGTGGATTGGTGTTTACAGTAGATGTCTGTGTCTCTGGAAGGGGAAGGTCTACTAAACGGCGGTTTAACCCTTTTATGCCTGGGGGTGCCGTTACAGCAATTGTTCGAGAACACCAATAGAAATATCGACTTAATTTGGAAACAAGTGGCCACCAGAACACCTTCTCTGGTAGTCTCTATTGACGCAGAGAAGGCCTTCGATAGGGTCAAGTGGTAGTTCCTGTTCTCGGTGATGAGACACGGGGGTTTTCCAGAGGAATACATAATGATTACAAGAGCAATGTACCACAATGTACGGGCCCAGGTTCAGGTAACGGGGCCCCACTGAAGCCATTTAGGCTATATAACGGAACCAGACACTTTCCCCCCTCCTTTTCGAGTTGGCAATGGAACCCTTGCTACAAGCGATCCATCGGCACCCGAATATCAGAGGAGTTAGAGTAGGCGATACAGAGTTCACAGTCTCGGCCTATGTGAACAACGTCCTCCTGACCATTACGAACCCGATCGAATCAATGTCAGCACTACAGGACGTAATAAACAAAATACGGGGAAGTGTCCAGATACAAAGCAAATATACAGAAATCCAGCGCTATGCCAATCAGCTTAACGGCGGCTGACGGGGCCCGGATGGAAACAGACTCCTTAAAATATTTAGGTATCCATATAACAGCAGATCCGGGACGATATATGCTGTCAACTACAGTCCCATGCTTAGGGCTCTGATAGGAGATTTAGAAAAGTGGACGGACAAACCTATTTCTTGGATAGAATGGATCAACTCCATAAAAATGAACATCCTCCCCCGCATTCTATTTCTGTTTCAAGCCTTACCCATACGCATCACAAAAACGCAACTGGTACCACTACAAAGAGCAGCCCTCCCCCCTCTCTTTTTCACCTCCTCCCCTTTCTTCCCTACATATCTTCCTGATTTTTCTCCTTCTCGTTCCTCTTATTTCTCCTAATTTCATGTTTCCTTCTATCTTCTTGTTCTTATTTCTTTGCCCCCAGTTTATCAGGGGTTTGACTTTTTTCTCTACTC